GATTCAAACCCAGGACATAAAAATCCTGAATGTCATTTTTTTTCTTTGAGACTAACATGCTAACCACTACGCTATACAGCTCATGACAAATGTCGTCATTTAAATCATGTTTTTGATATAACCCTTGACTAAATGGACTTCAAATATTTCTCGAAAAGATACGAATGTTGTGTCATATAAAAGTGTATTTTTCCAGATATAGTGGGTCCTTTTCAATGTTTTTGTTACCCTAAAATTGTATATTTTTCACGCATACTTTGAGTATAATCTTTTCAAAAATGGAGCGAAGACCCACTCATGTGGAAAAATTGAGTAATATGATGAAATGATCATTTTGACCTCTGTATGCTATTTCATTAACACATAATTTCAATCTTTGTGGGATTGTTGTAAATTGTGGAGATTTTACATTAAGTATACGTTAATGTTAATCAAAGAAAATTTTGTCATAATTGAGAGTTGATTTTTTTTTTAAACTTCCTTATTTGTCGCACAATAGGCATTTTGCTTGTCTTGTTCGTCCATCTTCTTTAAATGAACATGATTAAATTTTACAAATTGATATTCATTTCTATGCAGCTTCCCTCTGTGATATATGAATACTTCTACCGAAACATTTCACATAGTAAGGAGCTAGGTCTAAAGCAGTCTGATCATAAAGAGATAAATTATATAAATCACCTTTATGCGAGTCAAATAATTAAAAAACTTAACTTTGAAACCTGCACACTTCCTGACAAATTGAACAGAATGCAGTTTTATTGGCTCCTCTACAGATATGGGTTGGATGACAGCGACATGATTGGATCGATCTCTTGTTGGTACATGTATGTTGATCCCTATTTTGATCTGTTTCTGACAGACTTGTGTACATCTTGAGCTTTTATGGACGTGTCTCTTCTCTATAATCATGTGTCAATGATTTTCTTGCCCAAGCCTGAATATCTTTGGGAGCAAACATTGTATCTCATTTTTAATCAAATCACACCAGCAGCGAGTCAATTATACCAGTCACGTGACCCCTGTGGATCTTGATCTAACCGTCTCTCTTTGGTTGCTTTCTCAGACCAATACACCATTTACATCTTATCAACAAATAACTATAATTTAATTTTTTGCAAAGGTCTATTTTATATCGAAAGCATTAATTAGACATTTAAATGCTCTGGGCATTTTTTTTGATCGAAATTCCCATACAAAGGAATTTAATCGAATACTCGTATGACAATTATTTTTAAATCTTTGATCTTCTAAATTTTCACGAGAGCACGTATGTATCCCTTCAGTCATATTTAAATTAAAGCAAAGAACAAACGTGATATCGGAAAATAGTATTGTCCTAGTAGATTAAACTACATGTTCTTGTGAACCAAATAAGGAGTTCGTAAGGCTGGAGTTATAAGTGCAATTAAAATAAGGAGAGAAGATACTAATAATAAAAGAAAATCTTTATCTATCTTAACTACTACGACTTTTCTTTCAGGATGAAAAAAATCAGATAATGACCACCAGCGTTTGGCTGAGGCAGGTAAGAACCAGATAATAACAACTGATTATTGGATAAGGCAGTTTGAACCTGATGACAACCAGTGTTAGGTATAGGCAGGTATGAACCAGATCTAATGACCATCATGATTGTTTAGGCAGTTTAGCAGGAATAAACCAGCTAATGACCACCAGTGGTTGACTTAGGCAGGTTAGAACCAGATATTGACCATCAATATTTGGCTTAAGCAGGAGTGAACTAGATAATGACTAGTGATTGGCTAAGGTAGGTTAGAACCAGATAATAATGACTGTTGATAGGCTGGAGCAAGTAAGAAACAGATAATGATAACCAGCGATTGGTTAGGCAGATAAAACAAAATAAGGACCACCAGTTATACGATTAGGCAGGTACAAACCAGATAATGACCACCAGTGATTGGTTAAACAGGTAGGAAAATAAAAGCCATCAGTGTTTGATTGAGGCAGGAATGAACCAGATAATAACCACCAGTTTGTGGTTGAGACAGGTAATACCAAATATCCACTAGTACTTGGCTCAGGCCGGTTAAAACGAGGTGACCATGAAGATGTTGTGTGAATCAACTTTTAATACTATCTGCTTGATTCAGATAGGTAAGATTTTTAAATAAATGTTTGCCTTAAACAGGTAAGATCAAGTGTTTGGTTAAGACAGGTAAAACTATAACCAGTTCTGCATCAGACACCATAAAGAGTCATCAGCCTTTGAAACAACCTCTTACAGTTTTATAAAGACCCCGGTAGTATGTATTTGTAAAAGACCATGAATTTTAGCCTGCATTTAAAGAGTGCTATAATGCCAAATCTTTAAATGTTTCGGAGCTTTCAATACCAAGACCATGATAAGTAGTATTTTGTATATAAAGTTAATGTCATATATTTAGAATTTTTGTTGTTTAAATGAATACCATTCTCTGTCGGAATGCATTACAAACAAATGTCATCCAAGTTTAGCAGATATGTTAACAGTGCATTTATCCCTGCAGCAGTGTACCTGAAGATCAATGAGAAATAGAAATGTTTCCTCTTTGTGAAAAAAAAAAACAATTTTATTGTAAAGAGTGATATACATATACATTTTATTGACAATATTTTCTTTGAAAAATCTGCACAGATACTTTAAGTTTTCAAGTACGTATTGTAATTAAGTCAACAAAACCTTTGACTTTCTGAGATCAATGTAATTATACAGAGATTAATGTACTAGTTCTAATTGTTCTACAGGAGTGGTTAGACCTAAGACTGAGGTGGGATCCACAATCTTACGGAGGGATATCCATGACGCACATTCCCTCGGACTCTCTGTGGCGTCCAGACATTATCATCTACAACAAGTCAGTCTGTTGATTCGAATTTCGCTGTAACAAACTTATTCATTATCTTCAATTTCTCCTTTCTATTTTTAGTGCTGACGGTGACTTCGTGGTAACTTTACAGACCAAGGCTACGGTGTACCATACTGGGAAAATCATCTGGGAGCCTCCCGTTATCTACAAGACATATTGTCCCATTGACGTAGAGTACTTTCCATTTGACATGCAGGAGTGTTTCATGAAATTTGGGTCTTGGACGTATGATGGACATGAGGTGGACCTTCAACATCTCTGTGACTCTCAGGCCGTGTTCTATGAAGAGACAAAAGAGAAAGTGATAGACCGAGGTATCGATCTCAAGGACTTCTACCAGAATGTAGAGTGGGACATTATCAATGTCACAGCTCGCCGGAAAGAAAAGTTTTACCCCTGTTGTCCCGAGCCTTATCCAGATATCACATTTAATATCACACTTCGTCGGCGGACCTTGTTTTACTCCCTGAATCTGATCATGCCTTGTTTATCCATTTCATGCTTGACTGTGTTAGTGTTCTACCTGCCATCAGACAGCGGGGAGAAGATCACCCTCTCCATCTCTATACTTTTGGCTCTCACTGTGTTCTTTCTGCTTCTCTCAGACATTAATCCTCCAACTTCATTTGTTATACCACTTATCGGGAAATACCTGTTGTTTACAATGATAGTTGTGACAATGTCAATCTTTCTGGCAGTCTACACTTTAGGGATACATTTTCGAAAACCGTCAACCCATAGTATGAATCCATGGGTAAAGCGAGTTTTCACTGAAATTCTTCCCCGAATATTGTTAATGAAGAGACCAGACTTGGACAGAAAGCCAAAAGTAAATACACGCACTCCTAATGGAATAGAACTCAAACAAGCAGCAGAAGAAAACAACTCCAACGACAGTTTGCTCAACTCCCCTGATGGATTGCGCTGCAGGCATCACTCTGCTGGGTCAGAAGAAATGAGGAGGTACCCTTTGGAAGTCAGGGAAGCCCTGTCTGGGGTAAAATTTGTGGCTGACCATCTGAGGAGCACAGATGCGGATAACACGGTAAATAATTTCTGTCATCATCAAAGCTCTGTCAAATCTTATCGCTAAACATTAGACTAGCACATAATTATTCTTGTGGTTATCCAAAGACAATAACTTCCCACAACAGGTAAAATCTAGCAATGTCTAAATAGTACTAATACTCCTGTAGGAAAACTTAACAAAGCGCCAACTTGAAAATGATAAAGAAATCTGCTTTTCTACAAAATAAAGAATTTTTTCGAGAAGGCTTTTATATGAATATTACACCTCTATTATGTCTGATCAAACACATTCTATCTGTCTAGTTGTCTGATTAAACACATTCTTTCTGTCCAATTGAATATTACACCTCTACTATGTCTGATCAAACACATTCTATCTGTCTAGTTGAATATTACACCTCTACTCTGTCTGATCAAACACATTCTATCTGTCTAGTTGTCTGATTAAACACATTCTTTCTGTCCAGTTGAATATTACACCTCTATTATGTCTGATCAAACACATTCTTTCTGTCTAGATGAATATTACACCTCTACTATGTCTGATCAAACACATTCTATCTGTCTAGTTGAATATTACACCTCTACTATGTCTGATCAAACACATTCTATCTGTCTAGTTGAATATTACACCTCTACTATGTCTGATCAAACACATTCTATCTGTCTAGTTGAATATTACACCTCTACTATGTCTGATCAAACACATTCTTTCTGACTAGTTGAATATTACACCTCTGCTATGTCTGATCAAACACATTCTTTCTGTCTAGTTGAATATTACACCTCTACTATGTCTGATCACATTCTTTCTGTCTAGTTGAAGTATGAACTGTCTGGATCATTATATTTTAAACCTGCAGATATTGATCAGCTGCTATCTTTTATAAGGAAAGTTCAAGCTGACATGACCTTTTACACAATTTTTGTTGTTAAATGTTTTTGTACTAAGTCGAGGATCGAAATTGTAATTCTAGTCACATTAACTTTTATTCAAGACCCTAAGACGCCCTCTGTTGTTCACAGATGAAAATGAAAATGTTTTGAATTTCTATTACAGGAAGAGAGGGACTGGAAGTATGTTGCCATGGTGATGGATAGACTATTTTTATACATATTCACTACAGCATGTATTTGTGGAACTCTTAGCATTTTCCTGTATGCCCCGTCTCTTTATGATCCAAGGGAACCTCTTAAAACAGATGAAGTCACAGACTGTACATACTGAAAAGTGTCAACATCTGAAATAGGTCAAGGTCACAGATAGATGAAGTCAAAGGGTGTCAATGCTAAAAAGTGTCAACATCAAATAGGTCAAGGTCATAGATAGATGAAGTCAAAGGGTGTCCATACTTAAAAGTGTCAACATCAAATAGGTCAAGGTCACAGATAGATGAGTCATAGATTATACACATTGAAAAATGTCAACATATTAAATAGGACAAGGTCACAGATTGTACAGTACATATTGAAAAAAGTCAACATCTCATATAGGACAAGGTCAAAGATTACTCATCATATCAATATTTGATTTTATTGCTTTATTACAATCACATTAAAACACATAGTATTTTCCAGAATCTCAACAAGGTTAACAAAACAGTTTCTACAACAGTAGTTTCCATACCGAACAACAATACAAAAGCCTACTGCTTTACATGCGACAACAAATTATTTTGTCAGCTGTCACACAGTTTTGAAGAAACTTTAAGATTGTGTACAATGTAAGAACTAACATCAAGTGTCCGGATGTCAAGGCAAGTGAACTGAGGGACAGGTAGACATCTTGTTTCCTGTTTTCCACAACCTAGGTCCACAGTCTTCTTGTCAAAATCTACAACATTACAAACTAAGACGTTATCAAAGAAATTGTCCTATAGAATGATGTCAATCAATAAAGTATTACAGTGGACATTGTGACAATGGTCTTAGGAATGACTGCTCCATAGAATATATCTCATTTCCATGTCAAAAACTGTCAGACTGTGTACATGAACGTGCGTTCAATGACTTCAAATTAAAACAAGAGGACCAACATCTACTGCATGTTCTGTACATTTCCAAAGAATTTGGTGATTATGAAGAAAAAGAGTTATGTATTTTTATACATCTAATGCCTGTAATGAAAATAAAACCCTAACTATAGACCGTTTTATTTTTAATAGGTTGAATTTCTTGCTTGAGTTTCTGATTGACAATATCTTTGTAGTTTTCGGAGATCAGGTATTTCAACAATTTGTTGGAATTCCCATGGGTACCAATTGAGCCCTCTTGTTAGCAGACCTATTTTTGCATTCATATGAAGCAGAATTTATTCAAAAACTTCTGCATGAGAAGAAGGAAACACTTGCTGTGGCCCTCACTTCAACATTTAGATATATGGTTGATGCTTTATCGATTATAACAGGGCTCGACATTAACTATTTTTCCTACTTGTCCATTCAGACAAGTGACCAAGACATTTACTTGTCCGAACTTCAATTTTATCCAGACTTTCTGACAACAACATAAATAATCTCAACATCAAGCAGAATTCAAACTTCATAAGTTCTGTCATGCCTTTGCAGTAGTATGCATTTAGTGAACTTAGATCCCGATTGAGTGTGAACTCAATTACATAGCGATTCGTATCAGGATCAAAGTTCATTTTTTATGTACTGCTTCCGTCTTTAAACTACCGGTAAACTTTCCACAGTCAATCTTTTTATTATTTAGAGACTTCTTTACATTAAAATGCACTTTTCCAATCGGACAAGTGCACAGCAATATTCAGTTGTCCGTATTTTTTTTTTGACTGGTACCGGACAAGCGTTAATGTAGAGCCCTGTAGCAATATTCATTTTCATTCCTACATTGATTAACTTGAAACTAAGATACCACAGAGTCTGACACATTTTTTTCATATTTGGGTATCTGTCTAGGAAAAAGGACATTAAAGTTACTCTAACAACAAAATTTCATGATAAACGTGATGGCTTCAACTTTTCTATCGTCTACTTCCTATATCTAAATAGCAATATACCAATATCACCTGCATATGAAATTTATTTCTCCCAGTTGATTCCAAACACAATAGCATGCTCTTTGTAAGAACAATTTCTAAAATGAGACACACTATTGACAAATAAGTTGATGAAACAAGAATATCAACAGTCTCATTTAAAGTCAAAATTTCGCAAATTCTATGGTTGATAAAATGACCTTGTCAGCAAATACAATCTATCATTAAGTCGAATGTTGACTGACATTTTTCATACAATTTGTTAGGCCATTATTTTTACACTGAATTGTCTACAGATTTTTCGTTTGCCCAATCATGACAAGGAGCACACAGCAGGTGTGACGGGTCAACAGGGGGTGCTTACTCAACCACAGCACCTGATCCCACCTCTGATGTTTTTAGAGATCTATGTTTGCTCCATTCCAAATTTGTGGTGTTTTAATGGACTTTTGAGCTTGATTACTGTTCGTTATCATCATATTTCATCTGTTTAAGTCTTTGTCAAGAACAGCAGATGTCATTAGTAATATTAAGGAGCCTCAATACACTCTTAAGAAATATTTTGGACATTTATAAAATTATACTTTATGAAAGTGTAAATGCCAAGTTCATCTATTTCATAACATAGGCTACTAGACTTATGGGGAAAATGCAAATTAATTGAACACTTTACTTGCACTCAATTATAGTCAATTCTAGAATCCTAAAATTTTATTTATAAAGAACAGTGATTGATCTCAAACAATCTACAAACAATACAAATCTGTGAACAGGGCATAAAACATGGATCCTGGAAATTCCAGCTGGGATCAGGTACCTAGGAGGAGTAAGCATCCCCTATTGACTGGTCACACTTGCCATGAGCCCTATGTATTTGATCAGGTAGACAGAACATTCTGTAGTCAAATTTGGAATAAACAAAGGCTTAACAATTGGTTTGAAACACGTCAGCCGAAATTCGACCCAGTGATAGGTTATACTTGTTAACAAGTTCATTATAACAACCACAGAATTTACGAAATGCTGACTTTAAACAAGGTTGTTGAAATCCCTGTTACATCAACTTATTTATCAGTTGCTTGCCTCGGTTTAAAAACAAATATTTAGAATGCTTCTTTTGACTATGAATTGAGTAATACACCGTAGATTTCTTTTTTATTTTTGATTTAAGAGCAGATCACTCATACTGCAGAAAAAAAAGAATAAAAAGAGACCCAAAGGCCTAAACGGTCACCTGAGTTTAATGTAAACTGTAAAGGATCCAAAGATTGAAGACAAAATGAAACAAAATAAGCTGATAAATGAAACTATGTTGCCAAAAAGCTAGAGAAATATGATGATCAGGGATAAACAAAATAATTTAGTGCTCAGTAACAAATCTTAAAATTGATCTATTTACTTGCCCCCATTTGTTACTATCCCCATGCGGACTAAATAAGACAATAGTTCTTGAACACTATTAGTAAAATCATCTCATTCCCCTCTCACACTGTCCTCTCTTGGTCTTTGAAGAACATTTAATGTACAAAGATAAGATATTTTTGTCCCATTTTTATTTATCTGTTATTTACAAGTCTACCTGACCATTAAAAAGTATGAAAGTACTTTTTGTATTAAATATTATAAAATTTCTTGTTTAATTCTGTTATTCAATCGACCTTTCAATTACAGTATTTACAGTGATTAATTATCATAGGTGAATAGCAAAGGGGATTAACCTCTTTATAAATTGACCAAGTGGTGCAGAATTTCAAAAATCTGGTTAAAACATCCTTGCTCATTACAACTTTATATACTCTGTTTGCCTGCTAGACGCCCAGGAGCAAAGAAGATTTTTAAAGAAATAATGCATTTTAACTATATTTAAAACAGACCCTCCCAACCCCCTGAACCCTTGACCCTGGGGCACAAATTTCACAATTTTGAAAGAAGCATCCTTGCTCATCATAACCATGCACTTCGTTTATCTGCTTAATACAAAGGAGCAGAGAAGAAAATTTAAATAAAAATAAATGCATTTTCACTATATAATCAATAGAGCCCTGCCCCAACACCAGAACTCCAGACATGGGGGCTATGCAATTCAAAAATTTGGAAGAGGAACCCTTGCTTATAATAACTATGCTCTTTGTTTGTTTGTTTAATACACAGGAGCAGAGAAGAAGAATTTAAAGGAAATAATACAATTCCACTATATATAAAATAGCGCCCCCCCCCCCTTCCTGCAGAACCACTCAACCTGTATTTTACAATTTTGGAAAGCACCCTTGATCAACATAACCATGCACTTAGTTATTCTGCAGGGGGAGAGATGAAGTTTTTTAAAGAATTTATTCATTTTCACTATATGATCATTAGAGCCCCACCCTAACTCCAGAAACCCTGACCCTGGGGCCATGAATATCACAATTTTGATAGAGAGCTCAATGCTTTTAACAATCACGCCAACAGTTTGACTCTTGATGTCCAGGAGTAAAAAAGATTTTTAAAGAAAGCACTAATTTTGATGGTTTCAGCCCCATGCCTAATGCCCCAGGGGGCAGGGACCATGAAATTCAAAACTTTGTACCCTTTTGCCCATTGATGCTCTATGTCAAAATTGGTTGAAATTGGTTTGATAGTTCAAGAGAATAAGCTAAAAATGTTCATATGTCAACACACGACAACAGATAGCAATACGTCACCTGAGTGACTTGGGTGACCATGGTGACCTAACAAGTTTACGAACAAGAATTGAGAAGGGATAGCAACAGGTCACATGACTTATTATGACCTCAAAAAAAAATGCAGAAAATAACTAAAGAGGCAACAGTGCAACACTGTTTTGTTTAATAATCAATGTTTGTTAATCTGGATGCATGTGTTCCAAAGCAAATTGCCCTGATTAATTAAGAATTCGAATGACTAAAACATATATTTGGTAGATGTAAATGTTAGGTTTCCCACAGATTTCAATGTGGAAGGTCTCCAGATTAAGGAGGCTTGCCTGTAGTTCTATTATTGCTTCTATTGTACTTTACAATCAGTAGAAAAATAACCCCAGTCTGACCTGAAATAGAAGCCTTGTCAATGTTATACAGCATCTCCCTGGAGTTTTGGTGTTTGTCAAGCTGTAAAATCTCTCTGGATGTGTGGTGTTTGTCTACTTGTAGCAGTAAATTTTTGGGCTGATGAAGGTGATTTCCTTCCCGTAACAGCTGTAGAAACTGCTCCAAATTGCTTTCATAGCTACAATTCTGAAAATGAATATGATAGAAACAGCTTTGGGAAGAACTTAAAGCTACAATAAACTGTTTTAAACTGTTACTGAAATTTACAATAATATATGTCCAGGATATTAATATCTGATTTCAGTCAATTCCACTTGATTATTAAATACTTTTTTAACATTTTTGAGGCTAATCTCACAAGAAATTTTTGAATAATCATTCTACATTATGGGGTATGATCTGAATATAATATTACTGAAGTGAGGAAAATGTCTCCTTGATACTTCACAGCATCCTCCAAACTTGACCATTCCATGTCTGTTAATTCTAAGAGTCTCTGAACAACTGTATTGTAACACTTTACACTGGCAAATGATGTCCCATCATCTACAGAAAAACTGGAAATAAAGAATTAAACCAAAGTGTTACCATCCTGAACAAAACACTGGGAAAAACCTTTCCACATAACAATAAACTTGTGTTAAATTCTTCCTGATTATATTAATGTTCAGCCAACAATGAGTACCAAGCAGAAGCTGAGAAATTGGTGCCGTGACCAGGATCACAGAGGCGATTTGTACATGTTCCCTGGTGTATCACAGAACTACAGTTGAGACAGGTGCTCTTAAATGCTAGCTTTGTTATATTGTGGATATGACAAACAGTCTGTATTCTTGTTAGGCCTGGTGATCTCCATCCCTCATAGAGTCTTTGAAGAGGAACATCCTCCCATAAGGATGTTGCATCTTTTGTCTCTTTATTTTTCACTTCACTAGATAAATAAAATATATGACATAATCTAAGGTACATGTATTTTTAAACTATAAGTACCCTTTATACACTGAACACTAAGGAGTTCTGATTTTGTGGTATTTTAATACAATTAAAGTAATCTGCCCTTGGATCTAAAATAGAATTAATTGAAATCTATAGTGAATTACTCAATTTGTAATCAATTTATTAGGAAAGCTTTCGTAACATTTTAAAAGGCCAAGATAAATCCACTGAGCACTTTATTTGATGTATTACCACCATATAAGTGAACAACAGTGATTTCTGTTCATCAATATTCCATCTTCTTTGAACATTTTTCCTGGGAGAAATGCCAAACAATGTTGAAAATTTACAAAGATGAACTTAATATTTACATCTTTATACAAAATAATTTTCCCAATGTCAGAAGATTATTTTCCTTCAGTGTAGAGAGGGCCCTTAAAATAAGAAGAGCACAAAGTAAGCAGACATGTAAGAGAGATTTAAGAAACTTGTCAATCCCCCCCCCCCCCCCCCCCCCCATTAAAGATCTTATTAGAAATGCCACTTACCCATCAAGGTGTTGTGACTCAGTTGATAGGACCCTCACTGAGGATATTACCACATACTGACAGTAAACAGAGCCACTATGGGATATTTTTCTTTCCAGGTTGTGAAACCTGATCACATGACCAGGAAGAAGACCAAGGGGATAACTGATGTTGTTTAGGGTCATATAAACCACCACCTCCTCCGCTCCCGTCAGACTGGACACCACTAAACTTATCTTCTGGTTATCCAGGGTGGATACACCTACAAAAACAATATACAATGTTAATATCTAATATATGAAACAATAAATGTACCCACATTTTAATTAATTTTCAGATATTATTATACTCTATTCTGTGTATTATACACTGGTCAACAGAAGGCTTACAAAGCTGTGAGCAGGTACTTTTGCAAGTTTTCATGTAAAATGGTTTGTTCTCCCCAGACAGGTGTCTTCTACTCTTAATTCTTCCCTCCAAACTCACGATCTGAGCAGAACAACTGTTGATAAAATAAAAATTCTTTATTTTCTTCTCCCAACTCACAATCTGAGTTGATTGTTAATAAAATTCTGCTTTTAATTCTTTCCTTTTCTCATGATTTGAGCAGAGAAACTGTTCGACATAAAATAAAAATTCTTCAAAACAAATTTAAAACAAACCAGAAGTCTCTTGACTGAACTTTAGCTCTACTGCTTTAAAAATACAACTGTGGATGAGAAAGATTTCATGTGGACTGAAACATGTTTTTAACTTCTTTCATTTTAACAAAGTTATGTATCTTTATTATTTTTTTAATTTGTACCTCATTTTATAGAAATTAAACCAAAATTGTAAAAAAAAAAAAAAAAAAAAAGGAATTTCAATTTAATAGAAGAATTTCTCAGACTATTCCATTTAAAACCAGAAGTCTCTAATGAGACTGTTGCTCAACAGGTTTGTACTTATAACAAAGAAAGAGAAAAGTAGCACTTGCACTGAAACTTTGCAACAGCAATACACAGAATAATGGTCCTTGGTTTAGTCTCTTTTTGTGGCAAGATTTATTGCAATCAGACTAAAACTGTAGGAGGAGTAGCCTTTTGAAAGCATTTTTCAGAAATTTCTATTTTTAGTAACAATGGCAACACTTCACAAAAATCAAAATCCAATATACAGAATTATGTACTTCAATGTAATCTACTTGTGTGCCAAATTATTTTGAAATCAGACTATAACTGTAGGAAAAGTAGCATTTTGAAAGTATTTCCAAGAATTTCTATTTTAAGTAACCATGGCAATACCATTCATTGAAATCAAAAACTGATAAAATGAATTTAAAAGCTTAGTGACATCTATTTGCGTGCATTGAAATCAGACCAAAACTGTAGGAGGAGTAGTGTTTTGAAAGTAGTTCACAGAAATGTTATTAACCATGGCAACACAGTTCATCAAAATCAAAAACTGATAATAAAAATTATGTAGCTTAGTGTAGTCTACTTGTGTGCCAAGTTATATTGAAATCAGACAAAAATGTAGGGGTGGTGTTTTTAAAGTATTTTATAGAAATTTTTATTTGTAGTAACCATGGTAACACCATTCCTCAAAATCAAAAATCGATGTACAGAATTATATATCTTAGTGTAGTCTACTTGTGTACCAAGTTATGGTTTACAGACAGACTGACAGCTAGACAGACAGACACCTTACTATTGCGTAAGCCCTTCTGGTAGTAGAGCTAACTAGAACTGTCTAAAATGGACAAATACCCCCGCTGGGATTTTTTTAGAGAAGGCACCAAGTCACTAATACTTATAATTTGATGGATCTAAGAGGTGTTCACAATTTGTTTAAACATTTAGAGTGAAAATTTACCAGTAATTGCCCATTATATTTTTTTAATGAATGAAACTACGGAGCAGCTTAATAAAATATTAATACTAATAATAACATTGTTTTTTTTTATAACATTGAAAAAATAAATAACAATTTTTCAAGTATTTCTCTATTGGAAGGTATGGATGCATTATTTATCCATTTTTTCTACAGTGATTATAGGTCAAGATCATGACTTTGTGTGAAGTGGAAACTCCCAACATTATTCTCCATAAGGAAGATAAGGTCCCGACACAAATTAGTGGCCTTGAACTTAACCAAATAACCTCAGGTCAAGGTCAGGACACACCCTCAGGTCATAAGCAATCTTTGTGTGAAGCGGAAATTCACCAAGTTTATCCATAAGAAAGATATGGACCGGACACGAATTACGAACTTTTTCTGTTATTGACCTTGAACTTGTCCAAATGACCTTGGGTCAAGGTCAGGACACACTCTCTGGTCATAAGCAAATTTTTGTGTAAAATGGGAACTCACCAAGTTTATCTATAAGAAAGATATGGACCGGACATGAATTATGAACTTTTTCAGTGACCTTGAACTTGCCCAAATGACCTTGGGTCAAGGTCATGACACACCCTCAGGTCATGAACAATTGTTGTGTGAAGTAGTAGATTCTAATGTTCCTCTAAGAAAGATATGGACCAGACACGTTTGCACAGACAGCCACCTAGACAGACGGACGGACAAGATGATTCCTATATAACCCCCCCCCCCCAAACTTTATTTGTGAGGGGTATAATAAAAACCAAGATTATTCAACAAAATTTTAACTATTTAACAAAATAAAGAACCTTGCTATATGCTATACATATAGTCTATTTGAGTACCAAGTTTTATTGATATTCCAAAAATGTAAAAATACAAATTAAAGAATTCCTTATTCTTTGTGTAGCCACTAATGGCTTAAATACTAATGAATTGATGTAATACACTAAATAATCAAACTATGTTTAGTATAAACCGTGGCAATTCATAAGAAAACACAAAGAACAGTCTTCCTTTAGAGGAAAAGTATTTTGAATGAATATTATTTTTAGTAACCTTGAAACACTGTTAGGGATGTTAACAAGAGGCCCATGGGCCACATCGCTCACCTGAGCACATTGGCTAGGGAAAAAAAGCAAAAATCAGTTAAGTATTGAAAAGTTAAAGGGGGGGGGTTGAATTTTAAACTACCTGATGATGCTTTCATATCAATATAACAAATGGCATTCTGTTCTTGAGCAGAAGATTTTTTCCCATATATTCATTTGTAAAAATTTGATCCCCCATTGGCCCCACTCTACCCCCGGGGTCCCTCATTTGAACAAATTTCATTCTACACTACCCAAGGATGCCTCCATATCAATTTTACTAATCATGGCTTTTCTGTTCTTGAGGAAAAGATTTTTTCCTGTATATTTCTATGTAAAACTTTGATCCCCCATTGTGGCCCCACCCTACCCCCGGGGGTCATGATTTGAACAAATTTGAATCTACACTACCAGAGGATGCTTCCATATAAATATGACTAATTATGGCTTTGCTGTTCTTAAGAAGAAGATTTTTAAAGATATTTTCCTATGTATTTCTATGTAAAACTTTGATCCCCCATTGTGGCCCCACCCTATACCCGGGGGTCATGATTTAAACAAACTTGAATCTAAACTACCTGAGGATGCCTCCATATAAATATGACCAATCATGGCTTTGCTGTTCTTAAGAAGAAGATTTTTAAAAATATTTTCCTATATATTTCTATTTAAAACTTTGATCCCCCATTGTGGCCCCACCCTACCCCCGGGGGTCATGATTTAAACAAACTTGAATCTGCACTACCTGAGGATGCTTCCATATCAATATGACCAATCATGGCTTTGCTGTTCTTAAGAAGAAAATTTTTAAAGAAATTTTCCTATATATTTCTATGTAAAACTTTGATCCCCCATTGTGGCCCCACCCTACCCCCGGGGGTCATGATTCGAACAAACTTGAATCTGCACTACCTGAGGATGCTTCCATATCAATATGACCAATCATGGCTTTGCTGTTCTTAAGAAGAAAATTTTTAAAGAAATTTTCCTATATATTTCTATGTAAAACTTTGATCCCCCATTGTGGCCCCACCCTACCCCCGGGGGTCATGATTTGAACAAATTTCATTCTACACTACCCAAGGATGCCTCCATATCAAATTTACTAATGCAGGCTTTTCTGTTCCTGAGAAAAAGATTTTTTCCTGTATATTTCTATGTAAAAGTTTGATCCCCCATTGTGGCCCCACCCTATCCCCAGGGGTCATGATTTGAACAAACTTGAATCTACACTACCTGAGGATGCTTCCATATAAATATGACCAATCATGGCTTTGCTGTTCTTAAGAAGAAGATTTTTAAAGATATTTTCCTATATATTTCTACGTAAAACTTTGATCCCCCATTGTGGCCCCACCCTACCCCCGGGGGTCATGATTCGAACAAACTTGAATCTGCACTACCTGAGGATGCTTCCATATCAATATGACCAATCATGGCTTTGCTGTTCTTAAGAAGAAAATTTTTAAAGAAATTTTCCTATATATTTCTATGTAAAACTTTGATCCCCCATTGTGGCCCCACCCTACCCCCGGGGGTCATGATTTGAACAAATTTCATTCTACACTACCCAAGGATGCCTCCATATCAAATTTACTAATCATGGCTTTTCTGTTCCTGAGAAAAAGATTTTTTCCTGTATATTTCTATGTAAAACTTTGATCCCCCATTGTGGCCCCACCCTACCCCCGGGGGTCATGATTTGAACAAATTTGAATCTACACTACCAGAGGATGCTTCCATATAAATATGACTAATTATGGCTTTGCTGTTCTTAAGAAGAAGATTTTTAAAGATATTTTCCTATGTATTTCTATGTAAAACTTTGATCCCCCATTGTGGCCCCACCCTATACCCGGGGGTCATGATTTAAACAAACTTGAATCTAAACTACCTGAGGATGCCTCCATATAAATATGACCAATCATGGCTTTGCTGTTCTTAAGAAGAAGATTTTTAAAAATATTTTCCTATATATTTCTATTTAAAACTTTGATCCCCCATTGTGGCCCCACCCTACCCCCGGGGGTCATGATTCGAACAAACTTGAATCTGCACTACCTGAGGATGCTTCCATATCAATATGACCAATCATGGCTTTGCTGTTCTTAAGAAGAAAATTTTTAAAGAAATTTTCCTATATATTTCTATGTAAAACTTTGATCCCCCATTGTGGCCCCACCCTACCCCCGGGGGTCATGATTTGAACAAATTTCATTCTACACTACCCAAGGATGCCTCCATATCAAATTTACTAATGCAGGCTTTTCTGTTCCTGAGAAAAAGATTTTTTCCTGTATATTTCTATGTAAAAGTTTGATCCCCCATTGTGGCCCCACCCTATCCCCAGGGGTCATGATTTGAACAAACTTGAATCTACACTACCTGAGGATGCTTCCATATAAATATGACCAATCATGGCTTTGCTGTTCTTAAGAAGAAGATTTTTAAAGATATTTTCCTATATATTTCTACGTAAAACTTTGATCCCCCATTGTGGCCCCACCCTACCCCCGGGGGTCATGATTTGAACAAACTTGAATCTACACTACCTGAGGATGCTTCCATATAATTATGACCAATCATGGCTTTGCTGTTCTTAAGAAGAAAATTTTTAAAGATATTTTCCTATATATTTCTATGTAAAACTTTGATCCCCCATTGTGGCCCCACCCTACCCCCGGGGGTCATGATTTGAACAAACTTGAATCTACACTACCTGAGGATGCTTCCATATAATTATGACCAATCATGGCTTTGCTGTTCTTAAGAAGATTTTTAAAGAAATTTTCCTATATATTTCTATGTAAAACTTTGATCCCCCATTGTGGCCCCTCCCTACCCCCTGGGGTCATGATTTGAACAAACTTGAATCTACACTACCTGAGGATGTTTCCACATAAGTTTCATCTTTCCTGGCCCAGTGGTTCTTGAGAAGAAGATTTTTAAATGATGCCATTATTTTTTCACTAATTCCTAATTATCTCCCCTTGAAAGAGGGCGTGGCCCTTCATTTGAACAAACTTGAATCCCCTTCACCCAAGGATACTTTGTGGCAAGTTTGGTTGAATTTGGCCCAGTGGTTCTTGAGAAGAAGTCGAAAATGTGAAAAGTTTACAGACGGACAGACGGACGGACGGACAGACGGACGACGGACAAAAAGTGATCAGAAAAGCTCACTTGAGCCTTCGGCTCAGGTGAGCTAAAAACCAGCATTATGCATCTAGGTGTTGTCAAACTGTATAGCAAGATTTTTTTTAATTGCATGAGGAGTAGCAATTTGTAAGAATTTCACATTTAATTCTATTTTTTATTACCATGGCAACACTGCCTAAATGAAAATTTGATATACAGAATTAGTTAGCTTAGGGTATTTTATGTAAAATTCTCATTGAAATAACATGTAGAATAAGAAGCAATTTTCAAATTTTAGTCAACATTGCAACATGGTTCAATAAAATAAAAAAATATCCGAATTAAGTATTTTAATATATATAACTTGTGTGCATCTTTCATGTTCTAAATTGTATTTAAATTTGACAAAAAAGTTGGCGGAGTAACATTCATCTTCACAAGCCAAGGGTTATTGGTCTGCTTTACTCCCCACAAAACCCTTGGCAGATAATGCCATTAAAACATCAGCTGATACATGTACATTGTTTCTTCAATGCTAGACCCTTGGAATCTTGGAACCAATGAGTAGAAAGCTTTCATGTCACATTACATCATTTAGAAAAACAGATAAACAATCATCTATAAACATTTTGCTACTCCATATTCTTGTGAACATGTATAAGTTATATTCTCACTTCATATCTATCTTCGTTCATTAATTAACCTTTATTTTCCTCCTGTAGTTCTTTAATCTCTGCTTTCGTGTACATCTCCATTTCTAACAATGGACACCGAACTACGATTTGAAAACCGAAACCTGATTGGCTGGGATCAGAGTTAAAATTTAATGCGTCCGGAAGATGTTGCTCATGTAGCCAGTTTTAGCAGTGTAATCTGCCAAGGGTTTGTGGATAGCAAAAGGACTGAAAACTCTTCACTTGTGAAGATGCATTTTGATAGAAAATTCTTTAAAGGTAGACATTTGGTCGCTGACCAATCAAGCTAAAAATAAAACAAAAACAGTTGAAGTTTTAAGCTTTAAATTATTGGTTTCTAGCCTAAAATAACTCACTTGTCTTTGAGGATTTCACTTATGTCTGTGACTGGACAGATATTCAAACAAACACAGCATCTCTGAAAATGCAGTAAAAATGATTTACATTATGATCATGTGTCATGAAATACAACTTCAAGTTTTTAAATTGTCAAGATTTGGAGAAAACTAAATATTTACATCCAGCGTTCAGAATAGTGAAAATGTCAAAAAACAAAATATTCTATTCTTCTAAGTGATATCAGACCTGCTTACCTGTTTGTCCATAAGATTCAATTTTTATGCAGATAATTTTTCTACTCTTGATGCAGAAAATTTAAGCGAGTTTACCTAAAACAACATTTTTGTGTCACCTGCAGAGCAGAGCGAAACTTTGGGATCACTTTACCCAGGGTCTGTCTGTCTTGTCTGTCCATCTGTCATATACCTTATGTCTTGAGAATTATAAGAGGTATGGATTTGATATTTTTGTCATGTATTGCTTGGCACCATAACTTTGGTAAAATACCATGGTTACTGACCTGGTGACCTTCAACTTGACCTTTGACCTACTTTTCAAAATAATCCTAATGCTGATGTACAGGATATTTTGGACATTTGAGAGGTAAATCTGTTCTGTTTAGCATGTGCATTGTTTGTCATAAGACATTATTATAATACCAGCGTTTAAGTCCACCTGACCTTTGACCTACTTTTCACAAATAATCTGAATGGTTAATTTATCTTGTCTTCTGAATTTTGAGATGCAGGGCTTTGATAACTAGCATTTATATTACATGTTGATGAGGTAATGATATTTTACTTTTAAACTGTTTGAAATACAATTCACACAAAATGAACTTTAAATACTATGAAAATACATCAGGATCAGTATACCAAAATATAGACGGACAATTCGATATAGACAGACTGGAATCTCTTTCTAGTTAAGAATCTGATGGATTGTTGAATTAAACAATAGAATACACTGAGGAAATTCTGAATCATATTTGTCTTACTTTATGACTAACGCTACTCTATCGCAGTCTTAATATCCCCAGGTATATTTAGACGGGGCACTTGACCTCGTCTATTGTTTTACTGTCAGTCAAGGTCTCAAACGGAAGCCGTGCACTTGGCAACTCAATTTAATCTACACTAAACAAAAGAGTGCAGAAATTGCACTGGTCAAAAGACATAAATGCTAAATCAAACAAGAAAAAGTAGTTTGAGGATAATATTGCAGATTACTTTGGACCTAGTAAATTCGGACAATGTCATAAGGTTTCCCAACTGTTAATCTAAATTTTATATGAATATAATATTTTGTTTATGATTTTTACTTTTTCATTTTCATCTGAATTTTAAATTTCTTAATTTTCTTAAAGTTAGTAACAATGCACTATAAAGAAATCTTCAACAGTAATGAAGTATATAAAATCATGAATGTTATTAATTTGACTCCGTCTTTCAGTACTGTATCAGTACTTTGATTTTCTTTGCAGCCAAATGTATGAGCTATAATTTAATGTGAAAATGACTGACTGATCACTTTTAGATTTATTCATATCTGTAATGATGCTATAGCAGGCGACTCTTGCATTCCTTGGAACACTTTACTCAAGACATTCTTGACACCGACACCACAGAAACAGGTCTAAAAATATTTCCATAACTAATCTGTTAATCTCAGTCTTGAAGTTTGGGGATCTATTCATTGTAATTTAAATGCTTTAAAATCGATTGACGATTTACTTTCACTGAAGCAATTATATTGCAAAATGTTGTTTAGTCATAATTTTAGAACTTGAACTGATGAAAAATCTGGAAATTTTAAGACTTGTCTTTAAAATTGTAGATCATGTTTAGAATGTCATATTTTTTTTTAAAAAATTACAGGTAAATCTGGGGAGTAGACAGGTCTGTGATATACATTATAAGTTTATTTTTACTGGTTGTGTTGTGGATATACATTATAAGTTTATTTTTACCAGTTGTGTTGTGGATATACATTATAAGTTTATTTTTACCAGTTGTGTACATCTAAAGTTAAGCAGCTCCTCTGTCACCCAGAGGTCCTCAGGGACACAGATACACATTTTCCCTCCAGCTTGCTTCCCTGCTTTCCTTAGAGACTGCTGAGAGCAATTTGTGGAGTCGGGTACTAGTTTCTCCTCTGAGGAGAACCAGTATATATGGCCAGGATGGAGCGCTTCATACCATTGAACAGCCCTACCCTGGAACAGAAGAATGTGGGTGGCTGTCATTTGGCTACCCTGTCCCCTAGCATTATCAGAGTCTTGCTTTGATATTCCATTTGTTTCATTCCTATTGTCCCAAAACTTAACAGCTTCCTCTACAAAGCCGTGAATCTTCTCTTCTGACCAGGACTTATCAAGGAAATAGCCAACTGCTGTAAACCTAAGACGTGGTTGTCCACAGTTCACTCCCTCCAATAACAATGATTCCTTGTGAATTATACAACACCGTACTGCATTATCCTCACCACTTACTCTAGTTCTCTTATTCTCTTTCAGGACCTCCATGTCAGATAAGGACATTGTCAGATATAGTTCCTCTCTGACATCAGAGACATACTTCTCCTCTCCATAAGAACCTAGGTTTGGATACTGACAAATTTGGAACTTTTCATACACCACACTGTACTTCTGTACAGCCACTAAACATCCATTTAATGAGGATAATGAATGCAGCTCCTTTTCCTGCTCCATTAATATTAGACATTTGTGACACCCTGTATCATCTAGAAGAAGAATTTTACTGCTCCTTGAACTGAAATCTATGTAGCCAATCAAAACCTGAAATGAATATAATCCATCCAATCAAACCCCAATATAAAATCAGGCATGGTTTAATGAATACAACATTAGTAAAATGCAGATACTAAAAAGCATCAATTTTCTATGATTTAATAGAGGAGGGATTTTCTTTATTATTTTGTCACTGAAGGATCTACAAGAGATACCTCTTATTAAGGCTGCCTTTGGTTTATTTGTAAACAAAAATAAGCAATTAAGGGACAGATATATCAAATAAACCTCCAAAAAAATTCAGGCATGGTTTAAAATGACCATAATGTTAGTAAAATGCAGATAAATCATAAAGCATTTTCTATGATTTAATAGTCAATATACATGTATGAATTGATACCTGTATATTTTATATATTTGATTCATGTAAATCATACATTAATAAAAGTGCACTATACACTGATAATTAATATGTATACACATTGATTCCTGTATACAATACACATGAATACATTTATACCTGTAAAGAATATAGACATTTTACCTGTGTTTTATTCTCCTGGTTATCCTCTGTATGATAAAGCCAGTAGAGGGCTGTATTAAGTCTGTCTGTGCTTCTCAGGCTCTGAATAAGATTGTGTCCTTGTCTGTCTATTGCTTTTGTGTCAAAACTAATATCAGAACACAGAACCAATGTAGGGAAAAGTGGACATGTGGGCTGAAATGAGATACAAAACTGAGATACTGATAAAAAATGATAATAATGTTAAACAATTAAACAAAACAAAAACTGTCTAATATTGCTGCAACAGTTTTTTAATAGTTTTTAAATAAAGTTAATGAATAACTCTTAGATTTGTCTTTAAACTTTTTTCAAATAATTGGTGACTTTTTTTCAGGTTTTAAAGACCTGGTTTTAAGCTGTAATTCACATTTTTTTTTCTACAGATGTATCAACAGGCACTTCCTTGATTCTATGTCTAAAATCTACATAAACAAAAAAAACACCTGTAAAATGAAGAAAAATTATCAAATCATGATGAAAATATCAGATGCACATCTTTATATGGTGGATAATGAGTGTAACATTTTTCAGACAAATCCATGATAGAGTCTCCGAGTCTCTGTCTACAGACACAAGGACAGAGAGACAGACATGGGGATTCCAATATACCCCCCTAAATTTTGTTTGTGGGGGTACAATAAATGGTAACTTATCTTTAATAATAAAAGGGAGGTAACTCTTACAGGAAATCACTTACCTCCATCTCTAGTGTGGATTTGTACAGAAAACAGCTGTGAGGGGTGGACAGGAATTCTTCCATGTAATTTCTTTTCTGGAGATCAGCACTGTCAGTCATGTATCTCTTCAACAACCAATTGAATTGAGGACTGCAAATACAATCCTATAGTTCATTTATGTACAAATCTAATGGGAAGATGTGTTTGTGAAAACTGATGCCTCCCTATGGCAGCTTATGGCACAGGTTATATTTTCTCAAATGCTTGTCAAACTCCAAGGTCAAGAGATAAAAATGTTCTTATCCGAAGAAAGGTCTTGTCTCAGGGAATATAACTATGAAACATGAAAGCCCTAGCACCAACCGTTGAAAAGTTATGGGGAAGGTTTAAGTTTTTTGAAAAGTAAGTCATATGTCAAGGTCATGATGAAATGGTTAGAATTAATTGTGCCCAAAAGAAGACCTTGTCACAGGAAATACACCTGTGAAATATGAAAGCCCTAGCACCAACCATTCAAAAGTTATGGATAAGGTTAAAGTTTTTCAAAACTTGGTGAAACTCCAAAGTCAAGGACAAAGGGTCAAAACTTGGTATCCAAGAGAAGGTCTTGTCACAGTAAATACACATGTGAAATATGAAAGCCCTAGCATCAATTGTTCAAAAGTTTCACAGCCATGACTTAAACAAATTTTAATCTGCCCTATGTCAGAAGCTTTCACAAAAGTTTCATAATTTCTGAAAGATTATTCTTAAGAAGATTTTTTTATGACAACCAAACTATATTTGCTTTGTCTTGATTTTCTCCCCTTTGAAAGGAACATGACCATTTATTTTAACAAACTTCTATCCTCTTCACCAAAGGATGCTTTGTGAAAAAATTGGTTGAAATTGGTTCAGTAGTCCTAGAGAAGAAGTAGAAAATGTGAAAAGTTAACAGACAACAAGTGATCAGAAAAGCTCACTTGAAACTTTAGTTCAGGTTAGCTAAAACTATATATGTAGGATTTAGGACACTTTGGTTCAGGTTAGCTAAAACTATATATGTAGGATTTAGGACACTTTGGTTCAGGTTAGCTAAAACTATATATGTAGGATTTAGGACACTTTTACAAAGTTTCTTGCTTTGACTAAAAGTGCAGATATAGGATTTTATCCCATGGATATCGCTCATTGGATTTTTTTTTTTCATATCCCACTGCTGTGACATCACAATGGGTTTTGCGTAAAAGTGATGAAGTAAAATGAAGTAGATTCCTATATAAAAACAGTTTAAAATATTGATAGTGATGTATAAAACATGGGATAAAAAGAATCTCCCATAATTTGTAGTTAGATATGATCTTTATCCAACTCGTGTGTTTTTTATCCCCTCCCCACGGTTTGGGGATAAAAAACACACAACTCGTTTGATAAAAATCATATCCAACTACAAATCATGGGAGATTCTATATTTATCAAGGGTACATTATAATCTTCATATTTACCAGAGAGTGGTGAACTTTGTGTAGAGGGAAATGAGGAATCTGATAAACTGGAGCATCTGTGTGCTGCTGAATGAGTACCTCCATAGCTGGCATCTTACAAACTCAGACAATTTTACATTCTACAAATGACACAACCCCATATATCTATACTATCAATATAAATAATATACGGAGGGATACCCCATATATCTACACTCTCAATATAAATATTATAGTGAGGGATACCCCATACATCTCCACTCTCAATATAAATATAGTGAGGGATACCCCATTCATCTCCACTATCAAAATAAATAATATATGAAGGGATACCCCGTATATCTCCACTATCAATATAAATAATATAGTGAGGGATACCCCATTCATCTTCACTATCAATAAAAATAATATAGTGAGGGATACCCCATATATCAATAAAAATAATATAGTAAGGATTATCCCTTACATTTCCAATGTCAATAAAAATAGCATTTCTTAACTATCTTAACTATCTAACAATTGTCTGTTTGAAATATCAATATGTATGCACCGTTAGAAATTTTACAGCATTTTTAATTTATTCTACATTTTTTCTTGGAATTATATGTGTGTTAATAAGAACATTTTACATTTTTTTCTTACCTCCGTTTGTGAAGGGAGATCAAAGAACTGAGACGCTCGGATACAGCTTACCTTTGTTTGTGGAGGGAGATTAGAGAACTGAAACACACTGATACAGCTTACCATTGTTTGTGGTGGGAGATCAGAGAACTGACACACGGATACAGCTTACCTTTGTTTGTGGAGGGAGATCAAAGAACTGACACACGGATACAGCTTACCCTTGTTTGTGGAGGGAGATCCGAGAACCGAGACACACTGATACAGCTTACCTTTGTTTGTGGAGGGAGATTAGAGAACCGAGACACACTGATACAGGTTACCTTTGTTTGTGGTGGGAGATCAGAGAACTGAGACACAGGGATACAGCTTACCTTTGTTTGTGGAGGGAGATCAGAAAACTGAGACTCACGGAAACAGCTTACCTTTGGTTGTGGAGGGAGATCAGAGAACTGAGACACACTGATACAGCTTACCTTTGTTTGTGGAGGGAGATCAGGGAACTGAAACACACTGATACAGCTTACCATTGTTTGTGGAGGGAGATTAGAGAACTGAAACACACTGATACAGCTTACCTTTGTTTGTGGAGGGAGATCAGAGAACTGAGACACAGGGATACAGCTTACCTTTGGTTGTGGAGGGAGATCAGAGAACTGAGACTCACTGATACAGCTTACCTTTGTTTGTGGAGGGAGATCAGAGAACTGAGACACAGGGATACAGCTTACCTTTGGTTGTGGAGGGAGATCAGAAAACTGAGACTCACGGAAACAGCTTACCTTTGGTTGTGGAGGGAGATCAGAGAACTGAGACTCACTGATACAGCTTACCTTTGTTTGTGGAGGGAGATCAGAGAACTGAGACACAGGGATACAGCTTAACTTTGGTTGTGGAGGGAGATTAGAGAACTGAAACACACTGATACAGCTTACCTTTGTTTGTGGAGGGAGATCAGAGAACTGAGACACAGGGATACAGCTTACCTTTGGTTGTGGAGGGAGATCAGAGAACTGAGACTCACTGATACAGCTTACCTTTGGTTGTGGAGGGAGATCAGAAAACTGAGACTCACTGATACAGCTTACCATTGTTTGTGGAGGGAGATCAGAGAACTGACACACGGATACAGCTTACCTTTGGTTGTGGAGGGAGATCAGAGAACTGAGACACTTGGATACAGCTTACCTTTGTTTGTGGAGGGAGATTAGAGAACTGAAACACACTGATACAGCTTACCTTTGTTTGTGGAGGGAGATCAGAGAACTGAAACACACTGATACAGCTTACCTTTGTTTGTGGAGGGAGATCAGAAAACTGAGACTCACGGAAACAGCTTACCTTTGGTTGTGGAGGGAGATCAGAGAACTGAGACACACGGATACAGCTACAGGTACAGCAAAGGAGACAGATCTTTGGAACCTGGAATTCCAGCAAATCAGGCGATTAAGATAACAAGAGGCCCAAGGGCCTTAATGGTCACCTGAGTACAACAATTTAGAGGATCCATAAACTGATAAATGAAGCTTTGTTGCCCAATAGCAAGGAAAACAGTACGATTAAGATCAACAAAATTATTGGTCTAGTATCTTTCTATCTTTCCCCCATTTATCACTATTACCATGCAGGCTTTTAACAAAATGTCTATATTATTACCTCTCACATTAGCCTCACTTGGCCTTCGAAGAAAATTTAAAAAGATAAGTTATTTTTGTTTCATTTTTATTCATCTATTATTTCCAAGTCTACCTGATTATTAAAACTATGAAAGTACTTTTTGTATTATACAATAAATGTTCTTGCATAACTCTCTTATTCTATTAACCTTCCAAATACATTATCTACGGTGATTAATTATCAAAGGTGAATGACAAAGGGGAATAACTTTGGGCACTCAGTAGAATACAAATTAATAGAGCCCTGGCCAGGACCAGAACACTTTACTAAATGGTCCAGATGTTCAAAATTCTGGTAAAAATACCTTGCTTATTAAAACTTTTACTCTGTTTGCTTCCAATATGCCCAGGAGTAGAGGAGATTTTCACTATTTAACAAAGCCCTACCCTTACACCAGAACCCATGACCTGAGGTCATGAAAATTTACAAATTTGGAAGAGGTACCCTTATCATCATAACTATGCAATTAGTTGAAGATTTTCAAAGAATTCACACATTTTCACTATATAATCAAATAGAGCCCCCCCCCCCCCCCCCCCCCCCCCCGGAAACAACAAAACCCCTGGGACCACAAGTTTTAAAAATTTTGTACAAGCATCCTTGCTCATCATAACTAAACACTTGTTTCTTTGCTTTATACATGTAACCAGGAGTAGAAAAAATATTTTGAAAGAAATTATGAATTTTCACTATATAATCAATAGAGACCCCCCCCCCCCCTCTTTCACCAGAACCCCTGACCCAGGGGCCATGAAATTCACAATTGTGGAAGAGGCAGTCTTGTTCAACATAACTATGTACTTAGTTAGTTTATTTAATACCCAGGAGCAGAGAAGAAGATTTTCAAAGAAATAACGCACTTTCACTATATGATGTATATAGCCCCACCCTAGCAGCACAACCCCTGACCCTGGGGCCATGAATTTCACAATTTTGGTAGAGGGCTCAATCCTTATTACAATCATGTCAACAGTTTGACTGCTTGATGTCCAGGAATAAAGAAGAAGATTTTTAAAGATTGCATTAATTTTGGTGGTTTTAGCCCCACCCCTCAGGCCCCAGGGGGGCAGGGACCATTAAAAATCACAATTTTTGTGCCCCTTCACCCATAGATGCTATATGCCAAAATTGGTTGAAATTGGTTGAGCGGTTTCAGAGAAGAAGCTAAAAATGTTCAAATGTTAACGACGCACAACGCACAACAAACACTGACGGACAAAAACAGATAGCAATAGGTCATCTGAGTGACTCAGGTGACCTAAAAATCCAACCACAGCATGGAATACTCACATGATACTCTGATAGACACATTCTTAGAAAATGAAACTGAATAAAGAGTTAAAAACAGATATAAAATTTGACGAATTGATGCATTATATTTTTAAAGAGAACACTTCCTAAAGACCATTCCACCATCCCTTCATATTTATATGTAACATTATGGGCATCTTTAGTGGTCACATCCCGGGCTGCCCAGAAGAAAAATGGCTTGAACTTGACATTTCACTACGTGAAAATACAAACATATAAATTTGTCAATTTCTAGCTCATTGAAATAAGGCAAAAGTCTCCCCATCTTCTAAGGATGCTTTGTGTCAAGTTTGAAGAGGTGCTGGAGATTATAAATCATAACAATAAGGTAACAATAGGAGTATATTGCATCATTATGACATCAGACCTTTACCTGGATACAGGTAAAAATGTGACTGTGTTTAGGTGTTTTTAAAGACTTGTGGATTTGTTAAGAAAATTCAAATTTAGTGTTTTGTTGATGATTTGTTACCAGTGATTTGTTAGTAGTTTGTTGAGATGATTTGTTAGTAGTTTGTTGAGATGATTTGTTAGTAGTTTGTTGAGATGATTTGTTAGTAGTTTGTTGAGATGATTTGTTAGTAGTTTGTTAGAGTGGTTTGTTAGTAGTTTGTTAGAGTGGTTGTTAGTAGTTCGTTGATGTGGTTTGTTAGTAGTTTGTTGATGTGGTTTGTTGTTCATGGTCTGTTATAGTAGTTTGTTAGCTCATTTGCATGTGTTTTGCTTTACTGTTAAACTACTTTCAAAACACAGTGGTTTGTGTGTAAATTGTTATAGTAGTTTGTTTGCCCTTTTTTCGTATGGGTTGTAATTAGAAAATTAGGTATTTCCTTTGTTTTCTTGGCTTTACATTCCATATTATCTTAATAAATCTAATTAAAGTATGAATCATTATTCATTTTGAATTATCAAACATTACAGATTTTATTCAAAAATACAAAAGGTTCTTTTTCTTATGATCGAATCGAAATTATTTGAAAACTGACGTGAATCGATTTGAAAATTTTCTGATTCATGGCAGCCCTAGATGTATGACTTTTACCTCTTTGGAGTCTGTTGTATTGAGTATCTATGACCTATGACTTTTACCTATTTAAAAGCTGTATTGAGTGTTAACACTATGATGTATGACCTGTACTTGTCTGTATTGAGTATCTATGACCTATGATTTTTGATACCTATTTGGAAGCTGTATTGAGTATCTATGACCTATGATTTTTGATACCTATTTGGAAGCTGTATTGAGTGTTAACATTATGACTTTTACCTGTTTGGAGTCTGCATTGAGTATCTACAACCTATGATTTTTGATACCTATTTGGAAGCTGTATTGAGTATCTATGACCTATGATTTTTTATACATATTCGGAAGCTGTATTGAGTGGTAACACTATGACATCTGACTTTTACCTGTTTGGAGGCCACCATATGACTGTTGTGCACTGTGACATGGGAGCCAAGATGAAAACTTCTGTGGGAATGATGGTATGACATACTACTCAGCAACAGCCTGTGTAAAACAGTAAATACTCTAAGGAATGAATTTAATAGCTGCCCAATTAAAACAGTATAAACTGGGTTGGGACAATTTATGTTTTAAAAACTGTGAAGAGTTCAAAGAATTGTGGTACCCTGCTATGGTGTCTTTGTGGTTGTGATGCAATTGTTTATGGCAAATTGTAACTGCTTTTTCTGTATGTCTTGTTCTCTGTGTCCATCATACTAGGGGTGAAACGGTACACCTCCTTCACGGTTCGATACGTATTGTATAATTTTGTCTCGGTTCGGTTATTTTCGATACGATACATTTTGATAGAAGGAAACAAATTCAACGTTGTTTTATGCTTTCTTTTTCTAAATCTAGTCACATATTTTACGAATTTTATTTGCAAATTGACTAGAAGAAATTGATTAAAATTATTATACTGTCAAAAATTATTTTACAAGCTATCAGTCATCAAAAATTTACATTTTCTACACTTATTTATACTGAGTAACATGTTTTACCTTATGCCAAACCTGACTGAATAACGATCCCGACCGAAAAATGAACCGAACCGAAAATTAGAGATTTTGCACCGTGTATCAAAACCGAGAAAAAATACCGCGGTGAATCGATACCGCGGTGAACCGTTTCACTCCTACATCATACAAGACCTTTTGAATTGAGTTATGATATTTGAACACATATTTGACCTTGTTCTTACATTTTGATGCAGTAGTTTCAAGCATCTGCACTGAGTAGTTGCTGAGAAAACTGAGACGAAAATTTGTTATGTATGGTACGGACAGACGCGCAGATAAACAGGAAGTTGACATCAGATTCATACAAAAATGTGTCTCACCATATGGCATGCCTAAACAAAAATTGTGCTAAAATTTCAAGCATCTGCGATGAGTAATTGCTGAGAAAACTGTGACGAAAATTTGTTACAGACAGACAGACACATAGACTGAAACACAAGGGTAAAACAGTATACCTCCCTCTCCTTCGGAGCATGGGTATAATTATAATCACTAGTTTTTTTCATATAATACATAATTCTGCATTTTTGAAAGGCCTGAGTGATGGGAAGGGAGATAATACAATACAAACCACACAGTTTTATCCAGTTGATACAACCCAAAGTTTTCCAAGTCCACATTAGTTACTTCCCCCTGAAATGATCAAACATAGTCCCTATAAAAACATGGTAAATCCTAATGATACACATTGCCCACCTCCTGTATATATCAACATGTCATAAATCCTAATGATACATATTGCCCATCCCCGTGTATCAACATGTTGTGTATCTACATGATACACATTGTCCATCCCCTATATCAACATGTGGTAAATCTAAATGATATTATCTTGAAACAAAACATAACCTGATTGATATTTGAATTATTCAATACAAAGCAAAATATGATAAATTAACTTGAAATGCACCACTGATATGATATCCTGATTTATTGGTACAACCCTGACATGTTATCTTCTAGTACTTGGGAACACGGTGAATTCACCATGCATCGAACACGTGGATCTGAGGAATTCAACAAATTAGGTAATAAAGTAAAATCTACAGAATTTTAATTTTGTTTACATGAGTGTGAGTGTGATTTTTGTACACAGAATATTGTATCCATACAGATGATTACCTAGGCATCATTGAAATGGTGACCATCTCAAAAAAGCCACACTTTTGGCAAAGGAGATAAGGATGAAAGTCCATTTATCCAAGGTCAAGCTTTGGTAGAAGTTTGAGTCAGATGGGGCTAATGGGAGAAAAGAATTTTACCTTTGATCTAAAAATAGTTCAAGGTCATTGCATACCTTCTACCAACAGGTACCCTATAAGTTGAGTCTGACTGGGTCGAGGGAAGGGAAAATCTGCTCTGGACAAGGATACATGAAGGTCTTCTGACCTTGCTCTAAACAAATGAAATTGGATGGACAGACAGACAGATGGGTGGATGACAACTGATCACTGTAGGGCATCATATCCTGATATATTGGTATAACACCTGACATATTACCTTTGGGTACAAGGGTACAACTGTTAAATTATGTCCTGATGTATTGATAAAACACTTGTTGTTTGCCAAAGGCACTAATTAGAATACTCAGCCAAGTGTATTTTGTTTACAGTTTCAATACAACATTTATTGTGATAAATCAATATAGCAACCAGCATGATATATCCTGATACTTTGATACAACACAAGATTTATCTTAATATTTCAAGATATATGATATATGCAGATATATCAATACAACACCTGATATGATACATTCTGATATAGCAATACAACACCTGATATATGCAGATATATCAATACAACACCTGATATGATACATTCTGATATATCAATACAAACCTGATAGGAACAAAACTCCTGATCCTCAGACACTCTGATCAACTCTTTTGGATTTAATAAAGAAATCTTCTCATCCTTGCAGTTTTCTTTCAGCCATTTCTTCAAAAATAAAACTTACTTTGAGTAGAGTTGGCATACTATGATAACATTTTATACAAAGTACATTTTTTCATGTTCTGATTTTGAAAGAATTGAAGAAATATGCATGCAATTAATTGACATTACTTGATGAAATTGCACATATATTAGTACTGGGAACTTACAGAGAGAGAAATGACTTCAATATTTTCCACTGTAGGAGCAAAAATATCAGATTTCTTCCAGGGAACGAGAACTTTTTTCTCTTGAGGTGTCCCCTGCAAGAATGGATGATTTTATACGTCATCAATCAAAAATCATAAAAATAAAGCAACAATTTCATCAGCTTTAAGTGTAAGCTTGATAACAGCAGTGAGATTTTTTCTTATCAAAAATACTATGGCAATATACAAACACACAGAACACTATTTCACAAGAACAATTAAATCAGAACAATATTAAGACACATGTCAATAAATCCAGGAGTCATCCATTTAACTCCTTCATTAATAATTATGTATTGTTAACTTGCATATAAATTTGAGTTGTAATTACAATATCCTGAGCTGGATGTAAATCAGGGTACAAAGGACAATGTATGATAACAGCCGAATCTGGCCCCTTATTTGATGTAATAAAGTGCCCAGCCACAGCATGATACACCCGTCAAATATTGTTCAATTGTCAAAAACAGTTTAGAGTGCAAAAAAATCATGTCAACCTTGATACAAGGATTTCAATGATTTTTGCATTCCTCATAATAATTGTTTATACATCTCCTGTGGTGTAGGCATTAATTATACATATACAAATATTACATTATAGATCTTCAACTGGTTGTGTTAGAGCTTGACAAATGCCCATCTGCAGCCCCCCCCCCCCCCCCCCCTTTCCAGCTTTCAGATTTGTGAGACATGATGCTTGGAATTTGCTGATATTTTCAAAAAATTAATTAAAAATATCATATTAAACAATATCAATTTAGTCTTAACAACTTAATCTATATCAAATTAATATCAAAAATAAAAGGCTGGCCATCAAATGACATATGCTATAAACTGACAAGCAGTTCTTCTGTCTAATTCCCAAAGGCTGCTTGATCAGAGATCCTCCAACAGAAATGATTGAGACAGCTAGCCTTCCTACACTGAACTCATTAATTAATCTTTAACTGGATGCATGTCCACTCATCACTCCCAACAGACGAATGGATCTATACATACTATCTGCTTTCTAGTCCTAAAAAATGCATATTTATGTCATTCTGATATTAAATTTGAAAACAAAGATTTTTTTTTATTTGTTACAAACATTTATAAAAAGAAAAAAAAACTTGTGTAATCTTGATGCAATATTTTTAATAAGGTTCCTGCATTACTCTTAGATTTGTAGGGACTATCTACCATAATTAAAACATTTTTTCAAATACTTGATTATTTTTAGATTTTTAGATTTAATGTCAGACTGGTTTTAAGCTGCAATTCATACAGACAACGGGCATGCTGATTCCAATACCCCCCCCCCCCCAAGTATAATTAGTTTTAATTATATTATACAATATCAATTAGTTTATCATACAATATCAAATTAATTTATTATACAATATCAAAGAAGTTTTAATTACTGTTCACCAAATTCAAGTTAGGCTAGCCAACTATTTAATCCAACAGGGCTGATTCTTTTTGCCCAGTTCCCATGAGATATAGATAACACCTGCTTGATCAGAGATGCTCTACCAGTTAGCTCCTCACACTCAACACATTAATTTCTCTCTAATTTGACATGCAATTTTCTGTTATCAAATTCTCCTTGACCAGTGCTTGATAATTACACCCATGGGAGGTGGAATTTCCCTTGCAACATTACATTTGTTATAGATTGCTGTAAAGTATATAATGAAAAAATAAGTATTTTCTTGATTTAACATATTTTTAATAAGGATACTGCAACACTCTTGCATTTTTTGGGATTGTGTAATCTAATAGTAAAAAGACAGTTTTATTTTTAAATTTCACTTAAATTAAAGGTCACAGTGACCTTGAAATAGGTCGCGACACACCTTCTACCTAAGATGCATAAATTGGCCAAGTTTGATGATTCTAAGTCCAATAGTTTTCTAGTTATGAGCCGGACAGGATTTTTCCATATTTGGCCATAGCGTCTTAATTAAAGGTCAGAGCGACCTACTTTTAGTGTGCGACACACCCTCTACCCAAGAAGTATCAGCTGACAAAGTTCGATAATCCTAGGCCTAATAGTATTAAAGTTATAAGCCGGACACGAGAAAAGCTAACAGACAGACAGATGGACAGACAGACGGACATGAACGCCATAACATAATACATCCCATCTAAAGACGGGCGTATGAAAACCAAACACATTTAAAATTGTGATAGTTTGTAGTTAAGAACTTAAAATGATGCTTGTTTTAAAACTAGCACTAATTTTGATTCAGGGCTTACACGGAGGCCACATGAGGGTGCAGAAGTAGAACATTTTCCCGAATGTCCTCAATTCTGGCGGAATTTCGTCAAATTTGAGTTACTTTTCACTTCAGAAGATTTTTATACGTAAGATGCATCTGATACTAAGTGTATGAAATATATAAATTGGTAGATAGGCAAGCTTGTGCTCTATGTTTTCTGAAACAAAATGTGCAGTAAACTCAATAAAAATTTGCTTAAAAATGAAAAAACTCAGAAATTGACATATTTTCTGATCTTCCTGTGACCTCAGTGTATCCCATAGCTTATAACCAATACCCATTTTGTGGCAGGGGTGACAACAGGTTTTTATTGATAAATTGTTGCATCATTCTAAATGACACCCCAAACAAGGGGCCAAAAAGGGGTCTTAGCCTATCTTGTCCTTTCTTTTGTCACAACAAGATATATTAACCTTGTGAATAGTTTGTCTGCAAGACAAATTTAATTCCCATGAGCTAATTGATTTAACTGTTAAGTATTAAGCCATTTTGTTCTCCATCATTGAATAACATTTTTTGTGCTTTACTGTAGAAAACTACGTCAGTAAAAACTAAATCTCTTATTGTCTACACATGTGTGATTGAAGTTTTTTGGGGTTTTTTTTTATTTTTATAAATGAAAATGGTGCTGTCTATCTGTATTACACATATTGATAAAGAAAACATTGGTATTGTATTTTTTGTAAAATATATAATGTGTTTTTTTTTCCTTTTGCTCACAAAATTTAACTAGTTCAAAGTAACTATCAATAAGTGAAAATGCCCAATTCAAACACAGCTAGTAAATAAGTATGTTGAAGGCAAACACTGATAAATTTGTACGTTATAGGCAAATAGTTCGGAATTTATAAAAGTTTCTATCTTATATTTCTTTACCCAACTCTATTACCTTGTACAGGGTAGTGGGAAGTAGGCCTAGAAACAGGAACTCTTTCTGTGGGGTCAAAAGGTCATGCCAGTGTAGGTACTTCCTGTCCTATAAATAAATCAATCATCAGAAGACAAAGGAGATAGGTAGAGATCCTGCTAGTACAAAATGTGTCAATTCTCAAATGTCAGAAATGATTATAATATACTAATCTGAGAAGACAATTATCCCCCCTCTTTTTTCTAAAGCATTGTTATTTTAGGATTGAGATAGGCCATACTCCGATCCATATCAATATTTTCCCCTGAGATACTGTTTCAAAATGTGTTGTAATATCAGTATGAAACAGACAAAGGAATAATTTAACAACCCCCCTTTTTTCCCCTCCATGTCTTAATACAATACTTTGAATATTCTGTGTAACTTTATATATATTTTATCTTTTATAACATTTTCCATCCACTAAATAAATTACAAAGTACCTTAATAATAATGGTGACCTTTTTCTGTAGTTCAATACAAAATACCAGATCTTCTTTAATTCTACAGAAAATAACAGAAAATAATCACTCACTCATCTGAGGAACATATGGAATTATCAAGACACACATGGAATTATCAAGACATGTATGGTGCACTGGTCATTCAAAAAATACTATGACAATTTCACTCTTCATCATATTATTTTTATAAAATCTTAGATCAACATGTAAAATTAATTTTGCAGGTGTACATGTGAAGTTTTGTTCCCTTTGATTTAATGGAATGAATTTTATTTAATCTAAAATCAATATTTTGACACTACAGAGCACTCATTACATCAAAAATGATGTCATGGTTAATAGCACATACTACTCAGTCATTAACCCTTCACACTTAGTTTGCCAATTACAATTGTTTGAGTAGCATATAAGCCATATATTAAGTTAGTTTGTCAGCATTTCAAATTTTTAATCGTGCAACTCTTCTTTCACAAATTCCACAACAGTGAAGCGCACATCATTTTCAATGATGTTACCAACTCTTTTGATTAGATTTTTATCTATGATCTATTTCCTTGCAGACCATCTATGGTTTGATTCAAAGTCTTTACATCTCAAAAACAACCTTTGCCATTTATACACAAATACATGGCTCATTTTTTATATATTCCCTGGTTCAAAGTTTGTTTTAGAGGTTTTAGAGGTTAGTGTGCATCCTGAAAACAATATTTATGCAAGTTCTGTGTAAGTAGGTCTTATAGTTTGTTGGGAATTGACCTGTTCCAAAAACTTTAACCTGTTCACTAATCAAGAAAATGTCTTTCATTTCCTACATCCAAAGCAAGTCTGGAATGCACCATCTATGCAAGTTAAATCATAACAGGCCATATAAATAATTATAGAGCTACTCCAAACACATTGTCATGGTTACTCATTTGGAAAATATATGTCAGATCCAGCATCCGAAGCAAGTCTGGTAGTGTCCATCCCTAGATGCATCATCCATGCAAGCTTGGTTCAGGTAGGGCTTATAGTTACTTGGGAATGGACCTGCTCCAAAAACTTTAACCTGGTCACTCATCTGGAAAATGTAGGTCAGATCCAGCATCCGAAGCAAGTCTGGTAGTGTCCATCCCTAGATGCATCATCCATGCAAGTTTGGTCCAGGTAGGACTTATAGTTACTTGGGAATAGACTTGCTCCTAAAACTTTAACCGGGACGCCGACGCCGGGGGTATAGCATAAGCTCATCTCGACTTCATCGAGGTGAGCTAAAAATGTATTGCTACTTGCTGCTCCCTGACATCCCAAATGAAATTGATTCTTTTCAATGAAGTTATATAATACATCATAATTCGGCATCTGAGATGATGTAATAATACTAAATTCGAACATTTAATTTCATTTAAGCCCAGTTTATAAGAGATATGACTGTAGACATAAAGTGTAATGCTAAGGAATGACTCAATTTTAAGAGAGCTCCATGCTCCCATTTTTGCAGTTTTAAATATTAGATGATTTTGATACATATCATATTATATTTGAATTTCTTTATTCAAATTATTTCAATTGATTTACTGTTAAAATCTGTCTACCAAAGGTTATAATATGACATTATATTAAAAAGTTATAACAAAATAGTATTTTTTAATGACCCTCTTATTATCAAGATCTAAAACAAAATCATCACAACACATACAGAATTATCAAAACACATACAGAATTATCAAAACACATACAGAATTATCAAAACACATACAGAATTATCAAAACACATACAGAATTATCAAAACACATACAGAATTATCAAAACACATACAGAATTATCAAAACACATACAAAATCATCACAACACATACAGAATTATCAAAACACATATGCAATGATCAACTTAAGATTTAAAAAAAAAAAGATAACAAAGTTGAATAAAGTAACATTTGTCTGAACGTTTTATAGATTTTACAAGAGAATTACTTGATGATCTCACTGAAACAGCTGACTTCTCCAATAACATTTAAACAGCCTGGTTTCAATTTATCTCTGAAATTAAAAAAACTAGAAAACTGACCAGTCAGCAAGGGCCCCGCCGAGGGGTAGAAATATAAGGGTGCAGCTTACAGAATGAGAATTTTAATTGATTACAAAAATTAAAAAAAATATATGAAAAAGAATATGCAATAACAACTGTATTGATAAAATTTCAAGATAATTCCTAAATATCCAACAACCTGTACAGAGTATCCCTATATTTACATAAGGCAGTAAAAAACATCATATCTATAATAACTCAATTAAATGTATATTTAAACAAGAGTAAAGCATGTGTTTTATAAAATGCTAGCCTTCAGTGAATGCAAATATCACCCAGGCTTGACCTTAACTTCAAAACAAATATCAGTTGCATACAAAGGTTAATTTATCTTAAAGTGACAAATAAAGATAAGCCTGGAAAATTTTCTGCCCCAGACAAGATAATTAATCCCACAGGATTAATTGTACTGCTCTCTCATCCTTTTCTTCCAAGTTTACAATAAGAACTTTTTCAGTAAAAGTATTTTTTGAATTTACATATGGCAGCAAAAAAAAAAAATAAATAAAAAAATTAAAAAATGAATAAATATATACATAAATAAATAAAATAAATAAATAAATAAAAACAAAACAAAATTTTAAAAAACATATCTTTATGTATATCTTGTTTTTAGAATTCAATAAAATCATAACTCATTGTGTATTTTAACAAAATAAAGTATGAACATTATTTAAATCCACATTTCAGGGAATGTAAATATCATTCATAATTGACCTTAACTTCAAAACAAACTTCATTTGCAGACGGAGGTATTAATTAATCTCAATTTGACAGAAACAGATAATGCTTTGGATTTTCTTCAAGAGGAAATTCAATTAATCCCATGGGACTAGTTTCAGCTTTCATAGTTTACAATAGGAACATTCTCAGCAGTTATCTCTCTTTGCCCTGGCATTCATTCTAATGCAAAGTTAAGGAATCTACCCCACCACCCCAGCTCCAAACTGGATAGAGAACCAAACTTAGAATCAAAATATTCTTACTGCCTCTTCAACCAACATACCAAATTTGAACTTAATTGGTCTACTACAAAAAAAGTTATTAGAAAAAAACAGAAAATTTGTGGACGGAAGAATGACAGACGGACAGACAGAGTGATTACTATAGGGCACCCGCAAATCCTTGCGGGGCCCTAATTAATAAAACCTCAATTACTGTAAACATACTCATTAAAGAAGTAATCATGTACAAAATTTGAAAACATTTAGTTGAAAACTTTGAGTTATCGCATCACAGCAAAAATGTTGAGTGACAGAAGGACCGATAGAAAGATGGATGGATCCCCAAATCTACACGGGTCTTCCTATTATAGTAAAGTACTTATGTACAAAATAAGAAAACATTTCCTTGAAAAGTATTTGAATTATCGCCTCACAACAGTGTAAAAAATTTTGACAGACGGATAGCTGTACAGACAGATGGATGGACAGAGAGACAATGTGATTCCTATAGGGCTCCCACATTTTCATGCAGGACCATAATAATAAACATGAGGAATGCCCCAAATTCTGTAAAAGAGAGAGAGAGAGTTGTAGTTTACACACTTGTTTTCCAATATGACTGCTACATCAGTTGTTGATAACACTTTGATCTCTTTCCTTCTCCTGTCCACATTTTCCTCTTGGATAAAATTTGTAACTTCAATGTAGTTTGTACCTAGAAGAGAATGTGTATGTGAAAATTATCTAAAGGTTAAAAATTACAAACTAATGCAATGGATGCAAACAAAGTTTACCTTGACCTTCTTTGACCAGTCTCCATGACGACAAAATACACCATGAATCTCGAGCATAGATCAACTTTCTCCTGCTGAAATCTGTCCACTGAAAAAGAATTATTTTATATAGTAAAACAGCCATCAACAAAGAGCTAGGTTCATTTTATGCATTTATCATTTAAGTTTTTGACTTTAAATTTTCATTCCCTAAAAAGGTTTCTTATCCTAATACTGTAAATCACTTTTTATTCAGGAGAACTTTATTTTCCCGTAATTGTGCAAACACATTTGCATACAAAAATTTCATTCACACATATATTTGTATTGTTAAGGCTTATATTCAACAATAACCAGAATTTGTGAAAATTCTGTCTTACTTATAAATACCAGGGTTCATATGCATAAAAATTCTCAAGTCCTTAAGCATATACTTAATTCATTAAGCATACATAGAATATAAACTAGGTTTTGTGAAAATTTAGTGATCTATGGTAGAATAAATACCTCTATGGGGCAAGTACAAAAAGGGCTTACTGGAAGTTAAAAAAAACTCTGTCTGATCTTGTCAAAACATTACACTGTAAAATTCCATGGCCTGTAACTACACTGTATGTAACAAATAAGTTTACCTTTTGTATTAAACTTTAAAACCATAAGTCAGTGGAGGAGTGCTTCAGAAACACTAAACAGTTGAAAGACCAACTTTAATACAATTAATTGGTATAGCAAAAAAGTTGTACTAAAGTGGTAATTAATGCAAGAATATCTAATGAATATCCTGGTAATTGTAAGCTCTTATCAGTCTACTAGTTACAAGAAACTGAGGTTATATTACCCCTTTTGGCACAAGATCCCAAAGGGGCACTTTGGGGCCATATAGTGTGTCAGGCTGACCTAATTGGCACAAATCTTAGTTTGGGAACCAGGTAATTTCTCTCAACCCCTATCATATAACATGAAGGGTTTTAATGCCAAGTTTGATAAATAGTGTATTATCAATGAAAAATATTTATTATCTGTTTAGCTTATTTAGCAGTAGTTTGTTTTACTTAGACAAGTGTATTAATTAAACCAACTTCTTATCCTTATTCTCTGTGTACTATCACATTTTTTTGTGTGATAACACACAGAGAATTCTCTTTGTCAACATGGTCAAAATTCTATTTGATATTGATACCTTTTATTCTGCTACTGATTCGGGTAGAAAAAAATTATACCTGACAGGGAATGGATCCTGTGTTATCCTGCAGCTGAATGAATGAGATCTGGTCATTCTGACTCAGAGGTGTGAGTACAAACCTCCCTGATAAAATCTTCCTAAAATCAAAAGCAACACAAACACGATTAGCAGAGGATCATATAAGGAATTGTGTAGCAAGGTGTCCCAAAGGTTTGGCTCCAGGATCACAGTTTGTATATACAGTTAATTTTTTTTTTTTCAGTAATACAGTACAACTGGTTTTTTTTTCTGGGCTTCTAATTTTTGGTTAATTCTGCGGCAAATCTCCAGTAAAACAAAAACAAAAAAATCAATCGCAAAAAATACATTACGGTTAGGATTTCTTAATATGCTCCATTGTATACATAAAACCTTTAATATCAAATTGTGTGAGTGTTTGAATGTATTATCTGTTTAATCATGCAACAAATTTAGCTTGATAGACATAAGATTTATTCTTAAGACTAGAATGACCCAATAGGGTACCAAAGCGAAGGGGGTACTCCATGTAATTCAGAGTTACAGTAAAACACACTTAAAACAAACTGCCAGGGATGGATAATTTTGCTTCTTGTAAGCATAATCTGTTATCTCTGTTAAGTTTATAATATATACATTATATTTACATTATATCTAATATCTTAGTTGAAAATAGATACACAGTTACTCTTGTTAACTTATATGGCCCAAATAAAGATGATTCTCATTTCTACTCTGAAATAGGAAATTTGATTGAAGATATTGAATCAGATTTTGTCATTATGTGTGGTGATTGGAATGTTGTTCAGGATTTTCAACTAGATTGTTATAATTACATCAGAGAAAACAATTTAAAAAATAGAGAAGAAATTGAAAAACTTAAGAATAAATTTAATTTAATAGATCCTTGGAGGATAAATAATCCCGATTCTAAAATGTACACATGGAATCGAAGGAACCCATTGAAGCAGGCGCGACTTGATTTTTTTCTCATCTCTGAGGAGTTAATGTCAATAGTAGAAGAAGTTAAAATTTTGCCTGGGTACAAAACAGATCATTCTATAATAGAAATTGAGCTCATAATTAATGATTTCCATCGAGGTAAGGGATTTTGGCGTTTCAACAATTCTCTTTTGAGAAATAAGGATTATGTTTCAAATGTAAAACAAGTAATCAAGGAGACACTGTCAGAATATAAAGGCCCAGATTCTAATACCAGTACTGATTCAAGTTTAACAATTCCTGATGATTTGTTCCTTGATATATTGCTAATGAAAATAAGAAGCATGACCCTGTATTATTCAGCTAAAAAAGTTAAGGAAAGAAATAATAGAAAACAAGAACTACAAACTCAAATAAAAGTTGTATTGGAGTTGTACAATGCATATCACTTAGAAATATATTCAAATATGCTTAATGACCTACAGATTGAACTAGAAGAAATAAGAAAATATGAACTAAATGGATTACTATTAAGGAGTAGGTGTAAGTGGATTGAGGATGGTGAGAAACCCACTAAATATTTCCTGGGTCTTGAAAAAAGGAATTATGTCAATAAAAATATAAATAGATTAATTAATAGCCAAGGCAAAATTATTAATAAACAAAGTGAGATTTTGGAAGAGGTTGCAAATTTTTACAAATCACTCTATAGTAATAAAGAGCAATCATTAGAAGATGTAAACCTAAATGATGTAATACATGACTATGATATTAGAAAGGTATCCTCAGAAGCTCAAAAGAAATTAGAATTGGACATAACTAAACAGGAAATACTTGATACATTAAAAAACTTTAAAAATGATAAATCACCAGGTACAGATGGTTTTACTGCTGAGTTTTTTAAATTCTTCTGGGCAGACATTGGTACACTGCTTCTAAAGTCTTTCAAACATAGTTTAAAGTCCGGTCGACTATCAGCTACTCAAAGACAAGGAATTATTTCAATTCTGCCTAAAGGGAATAAACCTAGAGAGTATTTAAAAAATTGGAGACCAATTTCACTTTTGAATATCACTTATAAATTATTATCTGGTGTATTAGCAAGTCGTATTAAACCAATTTTGTCAGAAATAATTCATGAGAATCAAAAAGGCTTTCTTGCAGGACGGTACATTGGTGAAAATTCCAGACTCCTCTATGATATTATACATTATTGTAATGAAAACAATAAACCTGGATTAGTCCTCCTCATTGACTTTGAAAAGGCTTTTGATTCGGTCTCATGGAAATTTATTTTTAAAGTCTTAGATTTTTTCAATTTTGGTGATTTTTTTATAGAGTGTATTAAACTTCTTTTTCAAGATGCCAGATTGTGTGTAATACAGAATGGCATTTTTTCTGAATTCTTCAATATAGGTAGAGGATGCAGACAAGGTGATCCAATTTCTCCATATTTATTTCTCCTTTGTGCTGAGATAATGGGTATAATGATAAGGAATAATTCGTTAATCAGGGGCATTACTACAGTGAGTAAGGAATTTAAATTGCTTCAATATGCAGATGATACAGTATTGCTACTAGATGGTTCCAAAAACTCTTTAAAATCAGCTCTCTCTCTTGTTGATCAATTCTCAAAGTTTTCTGGACTAAAACCTAACTATGAAAAAACACAGTGTATTAAAATAGGATCACTAAGAAACAATTTGAGGTTATCAGATGAATTCAAAAACTTAAACTGGTCTCAAAAACCCTTTACTGTTTTAGGAATAACATATTGTGTAAATCTAGAAAGTAACTCTATGTTGGAATTAAACTTCACACCGAAACTTAAAGAAATAAAAGCACTCATATGTTTATGGTCACGCAGAATGTTATCAACTGCAGGAAGGATTACTGTGGTTAAATCATTGATTCTTCCAAAAATTACACACTTGTTAATTAGTTTACCAACTCCCCCAAAAGAAAAATTGAAAGAAATCGAAAATATTTTTTATCAGTATATATGGAACTTTAAAACTCCAAGAGTTGCAAAGAGTGATATTATTCAAAGCTATGAAAATGGAGGTTTCCAAATGATTTGTCTTGATACTTTTGCTAAAAGTTTGAAAATTACATGGGTTCGCCGCTTTTATGATGATACATGTAAATCCGGCTGGAAACACTTGATAGTTGAAACTTTGCCTAATGCATCACAGATAACAGTTTTTGGACCTTCTTTTTTGCAAAAGCTTATTAAAACCAGTACAAATATTTTTTGGATTGATGTTTTTTCAGCTTTTTTAGAATTAAGAAAGTGTATCGAGACTCACTGTATTTTGAGTCCTGTGTGGTTTAATGAATCAATATGTATTAATAACAAAAGTGTATTTTATAAACAATGGTTTGAAAAAGGTGTTTGTTACATACTAGATTTTTACAATTACACAGGTGAATTAATGTGTTATGAAGAATTCTGTAATCAGTACAATTTCTATCCACCATTTACCTTGTATTACGGGATTATAAATAGTATAAAGAAACTAGACTTATATTACAATACAGAGTATATTGTTAATGACTTACCTTTTTACCCACAATTTTTGCAAATAATTAGAAAAAGTAAAAAGGGCTCAAAGGATTACTACAATGTATTTTTGAATCAAAGTTGGAAAAAACCTAAATGTGAAATAAAATGGGAAAAAGAGTTTAATCTAGATGTGAACAGTAATTGGTGGAAAACTAAAAATAGTCTTATTTTTAAAGTTACAAATGACATGCAACTTAGATGGTTTCAATACCGCATTATGCACAGAATTCTTGCAACAAACACATTTTTAAACAAGATTGGGATTGTAGAATCAGAATTATGTACTTTTTGTAATGTACATCCAGAATCACTGGGACATTTATTTTGGGAATGTGAATGTGTAAGTGAGATCTGGGAAAAAATTCAAGATTGGATAAAAGAACTATCTGGAATTGACATTGTAATGAATAAATTGGACATTATTATTGGAAAAGATGATAAGTATTATAACATTACATATCTAATAACATGTATTGTAAAGAAGCACATATACCGAAAAAGAAGTTTAAAACAAATTCCTTCATTTGAAGGAGCTAAAAACGATTTTGTATTATTATAAATGTGAGAAATATATTTACAAGAAAAACTGTGATATTGAGAAATTTGATAGAAAATGGAACTGTCTACCATTAGAACATGTACTGCATAATTGTTTTGTTTGAGATGAACCCCCTGTTGCTCAAACTACTTATTATTGAAACAATGATTTTTTGTTTTTTTTGGTAAAATTTAGATAATTAAGCTTGCATATATATGTCTTGTATGGCTGAGGTGTGAATGTTGGCTTTTCTTTCCCTTTTTTTTTGTATATAAAAAATTCACCTGTCACAAGATGTTTAGTATAGGAACTTTGTCAGATTAGTTTGCAGAATCCAAGGCTCCCCAAACTTGGCTGTAAACTTATTGATCATCATATTCATGTGATGGGGTAATAAAAAAAAAAAAAAAAAAAAAAAAAAAAAAAAAGTTTATAATATATTTTAAAGTCATGGAGAATGAAAATCCCTTCACTGTAAGCATTAATTTCTTATGTGTTTGCTATAAGTGTGTTTTACTGTAGATGATATCCTGTGTTATCATTTTACTTTGGTTAAAAAATTTATAATAGAAACAAGTGCCTGTGAGTAATAGCCCTTTTTACAATAGAAAGTTTTTGTTTTTTGTTACCCCAAATTAAGTATAAAGAACGGCAGTCCAAATTGTTCACTTCTACAGGGCTGTAACGATTAACTGCAGTGCACTCGAATCACAATCCATGGCGCATGGCATTCGATATTTTCAATTCAACAGCTTCAAGTTACAATATGGTTCATGTTCACATTTTTTCCAGAATATAAACAATCAATGAATTTTTTTTCTTTACAATTAACAACAGCAAAAATGAGGGACACCATTAAAAACCCAAAGGCAAACCTTATGTCCCCACTGTGGAAATATTTCTGAATCAAGGAATTTTTTTTCTTAAAATCAAGGGCCTGGGCCTTTCCATTTGGTTGAAATTGGGAAAAAAATCGTATTTAACATTTTTCTACATATATTCAAATAAGAGGGGTGTATTTTCGTTTGCAAGGTATTTATTGATATATTTTTAATTCAGTAAATCAGATTTTGGAGCATGCCTTTTGAATTTAAACACCATTCCTGATATACAAGTGACCGAGTTCAGGCATTTTTTTTAAACCATATTTGTTTTGATTATCTTTTTATGCACCCAGATTGAAAGATCCCGTGGGTATATTGTTTTTGTCCTGTCTGTCTGTTTGTCTGTCTGTCTGTTGTCAACTTTATAAACCTAGCCCATAACTATTGCCCTGTCAAGGGTAAGGCTTTAATATTTGACATGAGTGTTCATTATGACAAGACCTTTCCATTGGTACAGAAATTTTTGATCATGTGACCTCAACTGTGACCTTTCACCTACATTTGAAAAACTTTAACATTGGCCATATCTATTGCACTGTAGTCTACGTCCCACTCCTGAATTGTGTTACCATCGGGGGCATAGTGTTTCACAAACACATCTTGTTCTTTTATGAAATTGAGAAAAACACTTACTTTTTACCATTGAGAAGGGGGCAGAATACAGCCCCCCTACGACTACAAAGCTATGATGGATCCAGAATTTCATATGTGGGGGTGGGGGTAAGTTTGAGGCCCAAAGAGGAGAGCATGGGAGGGTGGTGTCCATCCTCCCATGGGTGGGGTTTAAGGGGCCTCCCCCAAGAAAATTTTGTTCAAAATGGCTCCAAATGGTGCATTTTCCAACAAATTTGGCCACTTTTTATGCCCCCATATCGAAGATTCGGGGGTATATAGTTTTTGCCCTGTCCGTCCGTCTGTCTGTCTGCAAAAACTTTAACCTTGCCCATAACTTTTGATTGGTTGGAGCTATGACTTCCATATTACACATGTGTATTCCTTGTGACAAGACCTTTCTTTGGGTACCATCATATTTGACCTTTTGACCTTGGAGTTTGACCCACTTTTGCAAAATTTTATGAGACTTTATCCTTGGACATAACTTTTGAACAGTTGGTGCTTGGGCTTTCAAACTTCACAGGTGTATTCCTTGTGACAAGACCTTCCTTTAGATACCAACAACTCTGACCCTTTGACCTTGACCTTGGAGTTTTACCTACTTTTGAAAAAACATTAACCTTGGCCATAACTTTTGAACAGTTGGTGCTAGGGCTTTCGTATTTAAGATGTCCATTCTTTGTGACAAGACCTTCCTTTAGATGCCAACCACTTTGACCCTTTGACCTACATGTAGAAGTTTGACCTACTTTTGAAAAACTTTAAACTTGGTCATAACTTTTGAACGGTTGGTGCTAGGGCTTTCATACTTCACATATGTAATCCCTGTGACAAGACCTTCCTTTGGATAGCAACAATTTTGGCCTTGGAGTTTGACTTACTTTTCAAAAACTTTAACCTTGGCCATAACATGTGAATGTTCGGTTTTAGGGCTTTCACATGTGTATCACTTGTGACAAGACCTTCCCTTGGGGCCCCATTTGACCATGACCTTGACGTTTTACTTACTTTTTTAAAAATTTAACCTTCGCCATAATTCTTGAACAGTTGGTGCTAGGGCGTTCACAGGTATATTCCTCGAGACAAGACCTTTCTTTGGATACCAACATTTTTTATCTTTTGACCTGGAGTTTGACTTGCATTTGAGAAACTTTAACCTTCGCCATAAGCTGCCATACAGGGGCATCAGTGTTTCACAAACGCATCTTTTTGCTCTTAGTTGTTTTTCAAGATGCTCGTGAATTTAAAAAGAATAATAATAAAATTTTGAGAATTTTTTTAAACATAGACTGTATTTATTTTAAGAATCAGATCCAAAAATTCCAAAACTAAGCCAAAAATTTACTGAACTGATTAAATCCAAAAAATTTTTAAAACAGTGACAGCCATAGATTTATACCACTATTGTTAAGTTAAGCCATTTATACCACTGAGCCTTACCTGTATAGCTGTCTGTCAGTTTTAGTGGGAGTTCCAGTCGAACATTCCACGGTCAGATTTCTGGGACGGTCCAGTAGTTCTTCGACACTGATAATACTGTAGTCCAGATAATTACTCTTTACAACTCTCTTTATCCCGGACAAAAATTGATGATATTGATTTAATGTACAGCAACCTCTTGTGGTGACGAATGTTAGATACAGTGATCTTAACCAACAATCCTCCTGAAAAAAAATCAAAAACAAGAGGCTCATGGGCCACACTGCTCACCTGTGCACTTTGGCTGGCAAAGAGGAGAAATCAGTTCAGTATTGAAACATTTAAATACATGACTAATCATGGCTTTGCTGTTCTTCAGAGGAAGATTTTGTCCTAAATATATTCTTAAATAAAACTTTGTTTGCCTAATGTGGCCCAATACTAACCCTAGGGCTTTTCTGGTGCAGTGGTTCTTAAGAAGGGTTTTAAAATACAATGGCGCTGCTACTGATTTATTTGGCCACTTTTTTTTTTTATTCAAGCTCATATTATTCAACAGAACTGTTTCTTATCATCATTGAAAATGTTCGAATAACTAACAGCGTATATTCACTTCATAGGACTGTTAGTAACTGAACACTGCAAACTAACACAAACACGCGTAATCGGTGCAAGTTTGTAAACATTCAATGTAAACACAAGTCATCTTCAGGATTATCAATATTTTTTTTTTATTTCAGAAGTTTCCAAGTTTAACATGTTTCACTGATGGATGCTTTTTGGCAAGTTTTCTGAAAATAACCATGTTTACAGATATTCTATCAAATCATATTTATCATCCGGAATTACCCACACATACCCTACCTCATCTGTCCTGCTGAGCTGTAGCAAATCCACCGCTAGTATAAGGAATTTATCTTTCTCACTCCTGTCAACCATTCCTGTAGCTCATCTTATACAAATTACATCAGCACTACTAGCTGCTAACTTCTTCAGAAAAGTAATAAAGCGATAAATCTATAAATCTATAACACTGGCCGGTTTTCTACAAATGTCAGCGTCACTTATGTGACACAACAGTAACAACTCTGTATTGACTGTAACAAGTGTAACTGTAAGTCTGTTTTTCAAGTTCTGCGCCAAAATGTCCTACTATGTTAACTCATCCAATTTCTAGTCGCAAAAAATTAAGAGTTATATTTATAATGAAAATTTTGAAGGTATCGTTTGTTTGATATAATTGAACAATTTAAAAGCAATTTAGTTTGTTCTAAAAAAAAAAATCATAGAGAGGTCAGTAATTTCCCGAAATATAATTCAGCAGCACGGCACGACACCAGCATTGTACAAGTTAATGTGCACTTGTCACACCACTTCCGTGGAATCTTGTGATGTGTCGAAAAATTGTTGTTACTCATGTCTGAGTGATATTTCGCCCTGGCTCGCTCCTTAAATCATGACAGTTTAGTGTTCAGTCAACATGACATCAAAATTTGTTTACATTTGCTTTCTCGTTGTAATTTTGACAATTCTTTCTTGTGACAGTGAAGATCACGAAGGCACTGCATCCTCAAACAACACGACATTAAGCACCACCACACCGAAGCTGAATACCAATGACACAGCAAAGAATGGAACAGAAGAAATGGGAGGTGGTAAAGGAATTCTTGACTTTGGGGAGAATAAAGGGATGTTTATGAGAGCGTTTTATGTGTTGATAGGCATCACTGCTATTGTGGTGGTATACTTCGGTGTAAGGGCCTGGAGGTATGTTTCCTTATCTGCTTATGTGGTTGTATGTCAAAATTTTCTGAGTTGTCAGACCACTTCTGATTTGTTTTAGACGACTAAAACAAAAACAAAAAAAAACGGGCAAACCTATGGAAAAATGTTTCGTAATAGTCAGGTCCAGCACAATCTCTTGACAGGGCTCGACATTAACGCTTGTCCGGTACCAGTGAAAAAAATTATGGACAAGTGAATATTGCTGGCCGCTTGTCCGATTGGACAAGTGCATTTTAAAGTAAAGAAGTCTCAAATTAATAAAAAAAAAAAAAGAACGACTGTCAAATGTTTACCGGTACTGTAGGCCTAGTTCAAAGACGGAAACAGTATGTACCTAATACCGAACTTCGATCCCCATATGGATCGCTATGTAGTTGAGTTCACACTCGATCGGGATCGAAGTTCACCAATTGCGTACTACTGTAAAGGCATGGAATTTACGAAGTTTAGATTCTGTTTGATGTTGACAGTCCATTTATGTTGTTAAGACAGAAAGTCCAGCTAAAATTTTGTGTTATGTGTTTGTTGTATTTATCAATAACATCATGAATCAATCAAGCACATGTAATGGAATTCATCTTAGTTTTCAAGTTGACAGTATTAGATCTTTATTGAAAATTTTTCGGACGAGTGAACTTGAAGTTCGGACAAGTAAATGTCTTGGTCACTTGTCCAAATGGAAAAGTAGGAAAAAAGTTAATGTCGATCCCTGCTTGATTAATCTTACCGGTACTAGTTTGAATTAGCTATATAGCTTATTAATCTATTCAGAATAGCTCGATTTAGCTATTTCATCACACTTTTTTTCTTAACTGTGTTATTTTTTCAGCATGTACAAAAAGTCACACCTTGGTGCAGTGATAGTATTCAAATTTGAACTCTTTTGAAAACAATGAATGTAAAAATCACTCATCAAATTGTGTCTCCTTGAGAGACTTTGTACTCAATATTAGAACTATCTTTTATAATATGGGTTGCTTTTTTAATAGTCCACATAAGAATAGTCAAATACTTGCGACTCTTTGTCTATTTTTTTCAAAAAAAACTTTTTTGTGAAAGACTGCTTATAAATAGCTTTAAAAGCTATTCTGAATAGCTTAATAAAGCTATATAGCTTAATCAAGATATTGTGGTGCACCTGAAAGTATGCAAATAATCTGACTAAAGCCAGATTTCTGTTTATCATCATGTTTATATTTAAGTTTTTGCTTAAAGGATGTGCTATAAATTAAATACCACTGAAACACTCTGAACTGGTTGTGATATGTAAGCAGTATACAAAATGCCTCATTTAGAGTGTTTGGTAACTTTGGCTCTGATAAGTTTAACATGTCAGGATGTTTTATAAACATTCAACATACCAAGGGTTCATCATTTGAGTACCAGACAAGTCAGGCTACTCAAAACATTTTGAACAAGACCTGGCCCTGAAATCACAAGAGATTTTAAGCTTAAGTCAAAATCTTTATGTTGTACAAAAATGTTGTAGACTAGAAGTCAAGCAGACCAAAATTTAAATATTTTTCAATATTGTTTCATAAAAGTGTTGTAATCTGCAAATTTGGAGATTAATTCAATAATTGATAAACATTTTACAGGCATTTAAAAATTTGACATAAGTCTAAGTCTGTTTCTGATCCTGGATGTATGTAGTATATGTAGGGTCATTAGGGATCATTTTGCCCAGCATCTGTCTGTCCATCCATCAAATCTTAAATCTGGAGAACTGTAAGAGATTTGGATTTAATATTTTTGCACATATATAGCTTAGCACTATTGCTATTGTAAAAAAAAAAAAAAAAAAACAGGGGTCACCCTTCTCTTGACCTCTGAACTTTGATATACAGCTTATTTTTGACATTTAAGAGGCAAACTATACTATTTAGCATGTGCATTGTGTGTCATAAGATATAAAAAATACTAGCTTGACAGTCCACTTGACCTTTGACCCCTTTTGCAGAAATATTTGGAACGGTTTATTTAAAATTTCTTGAGAATTTTGAAAAGGAGGGTTTCGATAACTAGCATATACATCACATGTTTATGAGCTCATTACACTGTACTTTGATACTGTATAATATACAGTAACCACACAAACTGAAATATACTATGAAAATACATCGAGATCAGTATACCAAAATGGATCGCACTTCAAATAAAGTTGTAGACTGGCAATTGCAGTAAACTTAAGATAGACTTTAATTTCTAGACACAAATCTGTGAGACTGTTGAATTAAACACATATGAATAAAATGATAAATGATTATCTCTATAATAAATGTAATTTCAATATCATTATTCATTTTAGCTTTGAGGGTTGGGGAATCATATCTCTATTTGATTGTCACATTTTATATGATAATTGCCATTCTGTAGAACTCTTTCTAGTCGTTGATTTTTTTTCTCTGCAGGCAAATGAATTAAATATGATACAAATAAATAGTTAGAATATATATCTTATAAATATAACTATAATATAACAATAGCAAATAAATTATAACTGATCGAGCTCTTAAAGCTCTTAAATTTATTTACATCTTTAAAGATGCTATAACGCAGGTGATACATGGCTCCTTGGAACACTCTTGTTTATGTTGTCTCATACAATAAAACATGTTTCTTGTGATGGAATATTTATATTTAAAAAGGTTTGAATTTTGACAGAGTGAGAAGAAAGAGAAACAAGTCAAAGAAATATGGTTTAATTACGGGACGAGGTGCAGACTACGAGATGGCGCCACTTGATGCTGATGACGATGATGATGATGAAGATACTACTGTGTTTGAAATGAACAGAAGAAAAAAATGAATCTCTTTTATCTGAAGTGAAATAGGACAGAATACAAATATATGCCATAGAGTTTTGTCCTTCACATTTATTTTTTGTATGCATTCTCAAGAAAAGAACAGAAAAGTGTGATTGTATCAAAATCTGTTTGCAACTTTGCATGAAACGCAATCAAGGTACATTTTATTGTGCAAATAGACGGGGTAACATTTTTAAAAGTCTTTTGATCATGATGCACAAATTTGAACAACCAATCATTTGCAGTCCAAATTATAACAAAGGATATGTATCACTTCTTGGAGAATATGTTTGAAATTCTAGAATGTTTAATCCCTTTTGGTAAAAAGAATAATATGTATAAGTAATTCATAATTCAAATAAGTGATCTGAGGAACTAATTGTTTATTTCTCTACAATTTCAAGATACTATATGAATCATCTTGGAGATTCACTGTTTGTTTCTTGTTGTATTATGCAGATTTTCATATTTCATGTAACAGATCAACATAAATTTGACATGAAGGAAGCATAATTCAGTATATTGTGTTGTATGCCTGTGAAGGAAGCAGTGATGCTGTATATATGATGTAATCATTGTGTCATTTTCTTTGATTGATAATGTTATTTAAAAAATTCAGGTGCTGGTTATGTTTCAGAAATAAGATACTCTATTAACAGTATATTGTGTGACTGACTGTGTAAGAGCCCTGTGTCAATATGGATGACAATACTCTAATGTGACATTTTACAAGAAGGTATTCTTTATATAACCCTGTCTTCACATGTGTCTTTCTGTTTACGAAATCCACTTCCTTTTTTGGATGTCTGTTTTGTATTTTGTTGTACATTTATATATATGTACACATATATCTTTAAACAAAATATATGAATTTTAATTTTTGTGTGTTTGGGAAGTTATGAATTTTGTTTAGAAAAGCTTGTGTTTATGTTAGATTTTTTATATAAACATGATAAAAAGAAAAAATTGTGTTGTTTTGAGGTCATGGTTAACCCTAACCCACTTTTTATTTTAACAAATATCCAATCAGATACGTAAGTCCCTAATCAGAACACTATTTGGTATAGGTGATGGTGCTTTAACCAAAAATGGTTTATTTTTATAAAAGTTCTCATTTTTATGTAGATTAGTGTTATATGAACATAGGTCTGTAGTGTAATAAATGTAAGCATACTTAGAATAGAAAATCACAAAATTAACATATAATACATGTAATATCCACCATTGTTTTTTGGTAATGACTGAATGTATATTTAAGATTAAATCCACTTAAATATTGCTTAAGTATTTCCTCAAATAACAAAGTATGATCTGACCTTGATTTAGTCTGAGTTTTCTATCACTTTATAATCAAAGTACTTTTTATAAAAATGACATTTTGGAATACCACGGAAAAGACTCAGAAATTCCTGTATTGTTATGATGTGTCATGGAACAAGGATTATTCCTTGAGGTAGGCCAGTTTTTGTTAAAACAATTATGGTGATTAGCTTTGCTTTTAATGATATAGTATTCCAATTAATAACTCATACTATATGCATGTATATCCATACTTCATGCTTTTTTACTGTAGATATCATAATAGATCACTTTTTGCAAGTATTTCACGTGCTGTCTTTACACCTGTCTTTGAATTTTTTTATGCAATGTATTAACATTAAACTATTGCTTTATCTTCCAGTCTCATTATGTCTATATGCAGTCTGGCTATAAACAAGTAACACCCTGGCTATAAACATTTAATGGAAAGGAAATTCAAACTGTAATTTCCAGGAGAAATAATTCAAACATTTAAGGAATTGGCAAGATTTTGGTTCACCTATTCAAACATTTAAGGAATTGGCAAGATTTTGGTTCACCTACCTATAGGCTTCCCTTAGCTATTACATTTTGGTTGACCTTAACCTGATTGTGAATAGAACAACTATACTCTTAGTGTATCATCTGCTGAAATAAATCTAAACAGAAAAATGCATGAGAACCTCAGCTATCCAGAGTCAAACCATAATATTTCTTTGATGTAAAAGTTAAAGCTTCAGAACAGTAACTGGTTGAGAAAATTTGTACAGACAAACTAGAGAGCTAGAGATCCAAGTATTATTAAAATCTTTGATTTATGCCGCCGCTTTTTTGTCGCTCGCTTCAGGTATTATTTCCTGTATGATATGTGTTCCCCTTCCAAAGCATGGTATGCATTAATTAACTACATGTATATATTTTACTCATAATCTTGTTGCTTTATTTACCTTTCAGTGGTTCCAAACAGCCCTTATATGGCCTTGGTATGTCAGTTTTAAAAATTTGCTGGATAATTCAAAGTTTTTTACAATTCTTGGATCTGAAGCTTTTTTGTCGGAATTTTCTCAATCAGAGAGCTACAGTCCTGCAGCTATAACATTCAGAGTTGGAAGAATTTGCAAATTTTCTAGAATTAGATGGGTTAAGATTCTGCTACCAACCACAGGTAATTGACATTAATTATCCTATAAAGTTTATGTTGTAAAATGATGCCACTTTTCAAAGACACAATAGAAATGAGGGAAGAACAATGTAAAGAGTTGTATATAGTAGTACTTGCTTTTTATGGAATGGATTGTATTAAGTATAAAGAAAACACTGCAGGAATTAAGACACAAATGCTGTATGATTCATTGTAGTGCCTTAATTATAGGATAAAGATGGAGTTTTGGGTTGTGTTTGAACTCTCTGATTTGTGCCGAGTTTGAATGTTTTTCTACAATCATTGTGATTGTACTATACATACAACAGTTATAATTAATTGGATATACTGTTTCACTTTGTCTTCATCTATCAAGATGCAATCACATCGGACATTATATATTATGTTTAGTAAGTTTGCCTGTTAACATTCTGTCGTAGAAATACAAACTTGTATTTAGTTCATTTATTGATGATGGAGTGCAAAATGAATTGCCCCTATCTAAGTCATAGTTGTTTTCTTTCTCTTTTTTTTTTTTTCATTAATTATCAAATGATAAATCACCATATTCCATCATGTGATTAATAAATATGTAAAATAAATTTTTAAAAAAACTCAGTATTTCTTCTTCTTTTTTTTCTCACCTTAGCTCGTGAGCTTTTCTGATCACACGTTGGATTCCATGTGTTTGTCCGTCTAGCTGTAAACGTTCACATTTTAGATTTCTTCTACAGAACTGCTGAGCCAATTTCAACTAAACTTTCCACAAATCATTATTTGGTGGAGGTGATTCACATTCAAAAGAGCCACTTGCTCCTTCTAAACCTACGACCCAATGTTTATTGCCTATATTATGTCTATCTTTGCAAAAAAAGGGGGGGCTAAGCCCCCCTATCCCCCCAGTTTCACCACCTATGGTATATATATATATATATATATATATATATATATATATATATATATATATATATATATATATATATATATATATATATATATGATTATATATGTTTTAAGACTTAAGACTTGCCTAGATGGCCGAGTGGTGTAGCGCGCTGTTTCTGTACTGATAGGAGACAGATTCTGTAGGTCGAGAGTTCAACAGATGTTGGGGTGGAAGTGGGTAGACACTAAAGAGGCTGACACATCTGTTTCATATTTGGATGTTTTACTAGAGAAAGACATTGAGAACAAACTGACAACTAAACTTTATAATAAACATGATTACTTTAACTTTCTAAACTTCCCTTGTTTATGTAACAATAAACCATTATCAACTGCATATGGGGTTTATTTCTCCTAATCGATTCGATATGCGAGTGTCGCTAGCAAGTGCATGTGCTACATATGAACAATTTCAAAAATGCGGCAGTCTATTAACAAATAAGTTGATGATACAAAGATATCAACAATCTCATTTAAAATCAACATTTCTCAGCATTAATTCAAGTTTGTAAAAAGCTTGGTCCAAAGGGGTAGGGTGGAGCCACAGTAAGAGATCAAAATGTTTCATAAGAATATATTGGAAATAATTTTTATGTCTCCTTACTGAATCGATACGCAAGAGCATTCTCTGAGTACGATCAGAAATGAGTACGAGGCAAGGTACTGACAAATAGGTTGAAGTTACAACAATTTTAACAACCCTGTTTAAAATCAGCTTTTCTCTAATTCTACAGTTATTAATGTTGTTTATCTAAATATAAAATATAAAAATATATATAAAAAAATAAATATAAAATTATATGAAATACAGTTGGGTCGTATATTTGTCTGAAATATATGATACCATTTGTTAGGGCATTGCTTTTCACTAAATGTTACTACAGAGTGCTCCGTATATACCCGATCAATACATAGGGTGAGAAATTATGAGAAGAATTAAGGACGTTTGCAACAGCTGAAAACATAACGTAATTAAAATTACAATACTGAAATACCAGCAAATACTCGCAATACAGGATGTACACAACCATAGCTACTTGTATAGAAATGAAAACCATCACAATTATTAAACTATTTACTTTTTTAACGCAGCATGTTAATACACAATTACTCAGATTCATTCATAAAACTCTGTATTGATCAAATAACTATTTTATTCAGAGATATATGCAAAGGTCAGCGGATTGTAGATGAATTTTACATAAGGCTGTTTTAAATTGAAAAATAACATAGAAATGATGACCTATAGGAAAATTAAAAAGAAAAATATGATTTAGAAAAACTGTATACGGAAGGAAAAAAGTAAAATATCAGTCAGTATCTATTCCTGACTTCCGTCCGATAGAGATAAAGAAAGGAAAAACGCCTATAGAAAAGACGTCAAAAATCGAGATGAACTAAATATGATGAAACGTATGAAAAATTAAAAAAAAATTATATCTGTACATGTAATATTATCGTGAATATCTGAAGTCCGCGTGATCTTAGAAAGAAACCGAGGCTGGGGAAGAATATATTCTTTAAACTCAATCCATTTAGGATATGTATAGGAATTGAAATGCTAATGAATTATCTCTGCAATTTTTATTCTATAAAAGAGTTGGAAAGTTGACTCTTGATTGAAATTTAATTAAAATAAACAAATTTCCAGTTAATATGCATTTACATGGTATATTTCAAGCAAATATACACTACAAAATTTTTTTGTTTAAATAAAATATGGATTAGAATTCTAAAATAGGACTGCAGAACACTTTCCAAAATGAAATATTTGTTCCAAATTGATGAACTTTGACATCAAATATTTAATTATGAAATGAAGCCGTCATCCATCCAAGGTCTATATTTAGGTTCGCTGCAGCTTAACGTGTCTGTTATTTATGGAGACTCCATATCATTATTAGAAAAAGCTAGCTCATTAGCAAGGCAGTATAAGTTCCTTATGTACTGTCCGCCGCCCCCCCTATCCCCGTTTAGGGCCCCTAGCAAAGATTTTCCAAAGAGGGAAGGGGGTGACAAGGGAAACTGCCAAAACTCAGGAGGAGTAAGGTGTTCCTCAAAATTTCTGGTAATTCTTTTTGCAATACCGTAGGAGACTCACATCATACTGCAAGAAAATGTTCGGGTAGGGGTTGAAAGTGTGCGGTGTTTGAATGATATTGATTTTGTAGCAAAAGACTTTTCCGAAAAAAGGTTCTAACCCTTGTGGACGTTGCTGAGGGAATCTTAGAGGGAGCTTTTTAAGTGCAGAGAAAACGTGTTTTGCACAAAGACGAAACGAACTTCCGTTTCACCCCAAGTTCTTTTTTGGCTTCTAGCTCGAAAAGGGTGCGAGATAGAACCCTAAACTCGTACATAAAAATTTTAAGTAGATTTCAAGAAATCCACATACCAAACGTACCTCAGCCTCATAGCTCCAAGAGCGTGAAACATGTGCATAATTGAAGAAAGTATGTTGTAACGCCGGATGGACCGGAAAAAGACGTCAGCGGTTGTCGAGAAAATGGGACGAAAGGAAACTCTTCTTTTCCTAAAAGGTTAAGTAGGCCCAGAGATCTTTGCCCCAACTCTTTTTCCTGAAATGACAAAAAACTGCTCAGAAAGGGTGCTAAATTGACGAGAAATTCAAGGGATCTTATTTCCCTTAGTTTTCATCCAATTAATTGTCACTGATGTCATTGGCATGTATTGGCAAGTTCTGTCAACGACCCCTAGATGGTTACTAAAGGTTAAAAATCGTAAAAGTTGTGAGGGTTCAAATATATTTATCTTGGCAGCATGGGTACACCTAGGCAATGTTTGCTCTACAAAAGGTCGTAAATTGTTCAGACCTTGATGACTATGCATAAAGATTTTCACGACCTGTCTCATGAGCCCAAGAACATGAAAATCCATCGCGAAATGAAGATGTTCTGCAGTTTGCAAGTTTGTTTACCATCATATCAACGAAACCACTTGTAATTCTCTCTTCCTCTCCCTGAAACGACAAATACATAATATAACTGTAGAGAGCTCCTGAAGACCTTTCTAATGACACCAAGAACGTTAAAATCGGAGCAATCTGACAAAAGATATGAGCAAAAGAAGAGTATGTTTAGATAGGGGTTAAAGTCGGGATTAGTTGGGGTTAGGGTCAGGGGTAATGGGGATAAGGGTTATTGGGGTTTAGGGACAGGGTTAGGGTTAGTGGTGGTGAGGATTAGGGTTAGCGGTTTGTGGGGGTTAGGGTTAGGGATAAAAACGAAAATGTGACCAAGTAGGTCAATGGGGATTAAAGGATAAAATTAGGGTTGGGGTTTATGGGGGGTAAGGGTTAGGGTTAATGGAGGTTAGGGTTAGTGGAAGTTAAGGTTAATGGGGTACATCAAAGAAGCAGAATTGTTCAAAATGACAAGTAGAAGCGAGTGAGACTGTCAAAAGTCGTCAAATGACGTCACTTACGGCCAAAACGGAAGTAATCAGAAAATGCATATTTTTGCCGTTTTCGACATGTTATTGGTTAATTTATGTAACCAGAAGCGTCCAAACAAATTTTTCATTCCTCGACATCACTTCCGGTCAAACCGGAAGTATCCAGAAATAGCTTATTTTGCAGGTTTTAATATAAAATTGAAATTTTAAAGTCAATGTAGACGTCTTAACTCATTCCTTTCGTTTGTTGACGTCACTTCCGGTCAAAACAGGACGTAAGACCTACTCGTTGCTTTGCAACGAGCTTTGCTCAAGTTTTATTATTGTTTTTTTCCTACCGATTTTGTATACGCTAGTTCTCGGAAACAGCTTGTTTGATTTTAATGAAATTTTCAGGTCAGGTAGAACATTAAAAAATCTAGACATATATTTCATTTTGATGACGTCACTTCCGGTCCGGAGATTTCTGCGATTAAGTTATTTTTAGAGGGACTCTTTGTCCGCTCGTTTTCTAAAAAAAAGCACTTATTACAGGAACTTGTTATTTTCAGCGATGATAGAGCAATGTTCGTAGATATGTAGTTATTTTTTCCCGGAAGTGCTGCACGTTGACACTCGGTATGCTCCGAAAATAGTCTTATTGAGAATATCAAAATTTTCAGCATATTTTCAAGAATATATCGATCTTACTTGTAAATATTTTGTTAAAACATATAAAACAAAAGTTATGCAGAATAATAAGCTCTTTCATTTGATATCAACCAATATGGGCTGGCCCCTAAAACAAGGGATCTACAGGGGCTGAAAGTGTTTTCTCATTATCTCAAAAACTGTTGAGAATTTGTGATACATCAAAGAAACAAAATTGTTCAAAATGACAAGTAGTAGCGAACAAGATTGTCAAAAATCGTCTAATGACGTCACTTCGGGCTAAAACAGATGTAGTCGGAAAATGCATATTTTGGCCGTTTTGAAATTTTAAGGTCACTGGAGATGTCTTAACTCAATACTTTCTTTTATTGACGTCTCTTCCGGTCAAAACAGGACGGAAGACCTACTCGTTGCTTTGCAACGAGCTTTGCTTTCGTTTCTTTTATTTTTACAATTTAACAAATACTAGTAACTACATGTAGTTAATTCTATTTACGCATAGAGTACTATTATAAGCACATGATTAGAATTTTCCTACTTTTCCCTTGATGAAATCAAATTCTAACTACCCAAGATTTTCCGATTTTTAAGTTAAAAAAGAAAAATATATA